GTTCGTATCATAATCTCTGACGGACAATGCTGCCGGTCAGTATATCTTTGTGATATTTTCTTTGTATTTTGACCCACAGGGCAGGGCTCTTTAAATAAACTACTTTTCTGACTGTTTTATATCTTTGGCTTTATTTTTTTATTATTCGCGGTGTGATCAGATTTATACTATAGCGATGGAGATGGCATTGCCAAGGAAAGAGAGGAAGATTTGAGGATGAAATCTTAAAAAAATCTGTGTATTTTATTGATTGCATGCGGTTAATTTTTCCATATTTAAAATATTACAAATTGTTTTATAAATTATAATCATAAGGATTAAAAATATATTTTTTATTTATTGTGAGAAAAGAAGGTTAAAATGTTGCGGGAAATTGTGTTATTATTTTTTACTGTGGTACTAGAAATGCTGTTAACGATTATGGTTCCAAAAGCTTAAATAAACAAAAGTAATAAAAATGAACCACAATAACCGATGATGATCACAATTTCACCAAAGCTCTAAGTTGCACTTAAAAGCTCATAATTTTCAAACAATGTGAGATATTTTCCATCTAATTTTTTTCAGGACAGTTGCGGTCAATACTATCACCCTGTGCTTGCTGGTTGAACTTTTATAGCTAATTGTCAATATAAAGGCGTCAGTTATTCAAAGGTTCAGTTAAAATAATAAAAATACATTAATTGTATGCGAAAAAAAATTAAACTCTTGTTTCCATTGTCGAATCGGACATAGCGTTGTTTTTATATGACCTCATTTCTTTATATAAAACTACAAATACCCAAATCCGTACAATTAAAGCCTTACCCATCAATTTAGCGAAAAGAACAATGCACTCGTGACATGGTGAGAATTCGCCGATGTTCAAATCGCGTAGGTTTTTACGATACTCCTCAACCGTTTCAAATCAACACAAAAAAACTCATATGGATTTGAATTGAATTCGCTAATTATAAATATTTGAATATAAAAATAGAAAAAAATCCTTAGCTTGATCAGTATTTGTAAAATTTGTTTTTATTGTCACATATGTAATACTATTAATCTCTTTTTGCGAGCAATTTTGTTTTCACAATTTCCTATTCAGAAAAGATAAACTATTTACATAGTATGGTTCAAGGTATTTTCAGAGAGCCTGATGACAAGCTTATTCACTTGATATGATACTATCTATATTTACAAGGTTTTCACTTGTAAATATAGATAGCAATATGTTTTCAAGTGAAAATAGCACTTTCCTGGCATTGCTGCATCAATAGAAAATTTATCAATATTACAGAAATTGTAATAAAAACATTTTCACATAGAGATAGGACTATTGTTGGGTTACCTTCTGAAAAAGTGACGTTGTTAAGTATATCTTAGTATATCATCACGATAGCTTATAGGAGTCTTAAGTCACTGGTTTCCAACTTTTTTGCTCCGCGCCCCCTGCTCTAATAAAAAAAATTGTTGCGTCTCCCTTAATTTTTTCAACAATATAATTTTATGAATATTCAACTGATATTATCAGACTACAATTTAATATGCAATATTATGTGAAAATTTGAATAAAAACTAATTATTTTTTGTTTATTTTTTATTGTTATTTCAAAAATGTTGGGTAATTTTCGAAAATAGTATTCCCCCCGAGGGAGCGCGCCCCACAGGTTAGAAACCGCTGCCTTAAGCCTGTAAAAAAACTTTAAATTTTGAAAATATCTTAAATTGATCTTACTTATATTGTATTACATATTATTATATTTCGTTTTCAACATTCATAATGCGAATTTGTACGCTTTATTTTTTCTATTTGTATTCATTCTTAATATGCTGCTTTTTATTTTCATTTGCATTAAATATTATTTTGAAAGATTAACCTTAAATGCTTATTGCTTTAACTAAATTTAAGTGTTATGAGTTCAAATAAAATAAATAATGTCTAACAAATGATTACAATTATTTCAAATTGCAAGCAACCAGATGTCTATTTCTATACCTTATTTATTTTAATTTTACGTTTATTTCTTTTAATACTTAAAACATTCCGCTGTTTATTATCCTCGTGCGTATTTACACTTTTTTTTTTCTTGCATATTCTGGTTTCAATGTGTAAAGTATATGTGCAAAAAAATGAAATAAATAAACTGTCAATTAATCAGATCGAATTTTGCTCAAATGAGATTGTAGATAACGAGTTTGATTTAACTGTACTGGCGGATCGCATGCGCGTAGCGGAGAACCTGCTTAGTACGGAACTCAGGTTAAACGGAAGTTCATCATATAAAGTGAATACAGGTTTTGTTTCCAGGAAAAATGTGAGAATATAGGTCAGCTATAAAAATAACTCAAATTACAACTTGCTTTGCACATTCCTTTTGAGCTAAGCTTTTCTAGCTAAGTTATGACCAATGTGCTCAATAATATATATTTTTTACACAATGATTGGAATAAGTAGCGGTTTAAAATTTTTACTTATGTTTAGCCTGAAAATAATCGAAAAAATCATACTTTGAAATCTGACATACAATAGTTATGATATAGATAGCAATATGTTTTCAAGTGAAAATAGCACTTTCCTGGCATTGCTGCATCAATAGAAAATTTATCAATATTACAGAAATTGTAATAAAAACATTTTCACATAGAGATAGGACTATTGTTGGGTTACCTTCTGAAAAAGTGACGTTGTTAAGTATATCTTAGTATATCATCACGATAGCTTATAGGAGTCTTAAGTCACTGGTTTCCAACTTTTTTGCTCCGCGCCCCCTGCTCTAATAAAAAAAATTGTTGCGTATTATGTGAAAATTTGAATAAAACTAATTATTTTTTGTTTTTTTTTATTGTTATTTCAAAAATGTTGGGTTATTTTCGAAAATAGTATTCCCCCCAGGGAGCGCGCCCCACAGGTTAGAAACCGCTGCCTTAAGCCTGTAAAAAAACTTTAAATTTTGAAATATCTTAAATTGATCTTACTTATATTGTATTACATATTATTTATTTCGTTTTCAACATTCATAATGCGAATTTGTACGCTTTATTTTTTCTATTTGTATTCATTCTTAATATGCTGCTTTTTATTTTCATTAATAAAAATACTCGTCCCATTACAGAAATTGTGATAATAATATATCATACAGAGATGTGATAACAGATTGGGTTGCCATCTGTCAAATAGACTAGTATTAAGTCAAATCAGCACAACAACTTATTAGACTATTAATTATGATCGCTGTTCAAAAATAATTTTAAAAAAATCTTACATTGTTTCAAATATTTATCAGTGACGCGAAATTTTAGTTTGGCTTGTTAAGGTGATGCAATAAATACAGTGGTCAATGAACTGTGATCAACTTTAGTTTTGATGAAATATACTTAAACGTTTTTTGGGCTTGGGGTGTAAGTAGTTTTCTCATTGATTTAATTAAAACTACGGTGGCCATATTTTTTAACGTAATAACCGAGACGGTAATTTTTAGCGGTGCTATTCTGGTATATGGTATGGTTAAGTAGGATTTTAAAACAACAAATACAATAAAAATTTAAATAAATCTTTTTTTTGGTCAGAAATTCTGACTTCAAGTAAGAACTTTCATATTTTATATCTTTTATTTCGCTTCTAATCTTTGTGTGAAATTCTGTTAAAAAAATTCTATACTTCGGGATAATCTGGGACAAAAGATCTAAATCCGGGACAAATTTTGTTTAGAAAAACCCGGGACACAAGGTGGAAATTCGGGACTACCGGGACGTATGGTCACCTTATTAAAACATTATTTGCCAATTACAAAAATAAAATGATTATATGTTTATTACCAATACGTATTTATCATACAGACAACTCCAAAAAGTATCATAAATATTTTGCTGTTTTGTCTGTAGCTATTTATTGTTTATATAAACTTCAAAGAATTTATATACCAAAAACGAATTTAGTTCATTTAACTCTATCCCAGACTTATTTTAAACTTTCATTCTCCCGGTGTATGGACTGAAATATCCTGTTTATGTTTCGAATAAATTTTCAAGCTTAATGATAAATATTTGTGTCTTTCTGCTCGTGCTCAAACGATTTTCTTTATTTTTACCCCTAAGTAAATGTACTGTTCTCGTCAGTTCGCACTGAACACATGTGCTGGCCATATGTCAGGATTTCAAAGGATGGTATTTTGCAGTGATCCTTCAGTCGGCTAGGAACGCTTGTAGATTTTTTTTGTTAAAATTCTTGAGATTTCATTCAGCTGAGTCTGAGTTGTATTTTGGATTTTCAAGTATTTTTTTTTTTTTGTATCTAACGTAATTGACTCCCTGCATTCGATATACGAATTTACGTACGAAGGAATATTTTCATACATATGATTATTCTGATTTTGCACGTTGGAAATTTTTGAAGACCATAATTAAAGAATTTTAAATATTTTAGATAATTAAATAATTAAAAGTATGCAATAGTATGCAGTATAATAAATAGTGTGCATATTAATAATTTAAATATGTAAAAGTTAAATGGATTTATTGATTGCTTCCAATGGCTTCAGATGCGGATAAAGCACAACATATCAAAGCTGTCCAAGGTTGTTGAGTTAATAAATCGAATCTAATAAAGAAGAATTTTACATGCAAGAATGTTTTTTATTAACTTGTTTATAATGAATTAAAACTAGAGGTATACGAGCATGGCATTTATGCCAATACTTACTTATGTTTTCTGTGTAATCAATTTTTTGTACTATTTATCTAAATCGGTTAGGCTGTGCTCCCCAAAATTTGGCAATGCATTCATATATTTGTCCACACTTTCACATACGCAACTGTAAGGTATAAAAAAGCTGAAGATATGAAAAAAATATATTTTATTTTAGGCTATATCAATATCTTGCCCTACGGATTATTTTCCAGTTGGTCAAATAATACTTTATTAATTATTACATAGAAAAATACAAATAACTATTAAATAAGTGGTATGTTTAAGACAACATATAGGTATTGATTTTTAATATTAATAATTTTTTTTTTAGCAGGCCAGTATGAGCCTGGGGGATATGCCACCCAGGTGCAGCATCGACAGAACATGACGCAACGCGAAGATGTTCTCAAATTTGAACAGGGTCGCATCAAGGCCCTGCAGGAAGAGCGACTCCACATACAAAAGAAAACTTTTACAAAATGGATGAATTCCTTCTTGCAAAAGGTGAGATATAAGATGAGAATATAAAAATATTCTAGATAATTTGAGCTACATAATAGAAATCAAATTTAAAGCACGTAATGAAATATGTATTATTTGTTGGTACCAAAATATATTTAAAAATAGCAGATTTATATTTAGTGGATTTTATAAAAAAAAATTTAAACGATGTCATCTCCCCAGCATTTGGCATAGAAACAACTGCCAGCACGTTCTGCCTGTTTAGTATTATCTTTTAGTTATTTAAGGAATATCTCCCCTTCATCTCACCTAAAATCATGAGCCATATAGGACCGTATATGTTAACAAATATAGAGCAGATGACATCGTAAGTAGGGTAGATTTACCCATATATATCACATTTAAACTTCCTTTGCTCAGATGATAGGTATTTTTAGATCAAACTCAGTTTTTCATTTGCAAAATTGTAATGAAATGAAAACCATCGAGCGGCACAGTGGCTATTAAAGTTTTTGTTGCTCCGAATTGAAAGGATATGACGAAGCGACTTACTTAAGCGTCCACAGTCACGGTTTGTCGACTGTAAATCTTACATTTCAAATCAAATCTTACATATATATGTGTATAAAAACCAAACGTTGAAAATGGACGTTTCCGCCAATTGTAGGAACAATTTTTGACAATGGACGAAAGAATGCAATTATAACATTTTTTGTTCATTCATAAAAATTTAGGTCAAACTATTTATTTAAATTAAAGGATATTGTAAAATGATTTCTAAAGTAAGAATATGTCACATGTAAAAGAAAACTATTGTTTATTTTTTTGATAATTTCTTTAATTGCAAGAGTTTAGTAATATTTTCTAAAATTAGCATGCTTGAACTACGATGACCATTAATAATTACTTACTATAGGTTCGGGATATAAATTTTGATTCATTACTTGTAATCTGCTAATTTTGAGCGTAATGTTAATTGTGGATGATGTATACCTACTACATACGCTTTACTTAACAAAATTGATTCTGTTTTTATTTATTTTCCCTGATATCACAATCATATGCATACAATAATTATAAAAGATAATCTAAGTCCACAATGTTTGTAATTTAATGATACCCACACACGCGCATATAAAAGTGATATTGGTATACCTCAAGTTGCATATGGCAAATATCTCAAAATGATCTAATTCATTTCAGTAGTAATAACTTTTAGATTACAACGTTGTGCAAATTGTTTCCTAACTTCGTTGATGAAGGCATATAATTATAATTTTTCGCGAAAATTTCATAATGAGATTTCACATAGCGCGAGAGCAGAATGTGACAGGTCCCATTGCATCCAATGCATTCCATGTGAACTCTCCTGGCTTCTAGAGTTCCATTTGTGGTGATCGCAATTATTTCTGTATATGTAGCTATGCGAATAGCTGATGGTGAAACCCGGCATAACGCCCATATAGTTCTAGAGCATTGATTCTAAAACATTTGAAATGCATGATTTCATATACATAATAATTTAGGAGAAAACTAGTGGTGCAAGGCATCGGGCCCTTAGAGCAAATTGCAGGAGCTTACCGTACCCTAATTTTAAATTTAAAAAAACTTTTTTTTAAAAAAGTGATTATGATCAATTTTGACCGCCAAATGGCATTTTTTGTCATTTTTTCCCTTTATCTCCGAAACCGCTGGGCCTGTTTTTCCAAAAATTTACACAATCATTAATTTTGCCAACTCAAGTAAAATGGTTTTTGAATCATTCAAATCGGACGCTAAATTCTCTCAAAAACTCAATTGTTGTATTTGGCGCTTCTTGCACCGTATCTTCGAAACGGCTGAACCTGCCTTTGTCAAAAATTAGCTCATCTCTCTTTCAATACAAATCGAATGCTTTTGGAATTATTCAAACCTACTACATACGCTTTACTTAACAAAATATGATTCTGTTTTTATTTATTTTCCCTGATATCACATCATATGCATACAATTAATAAAAGATAATCTAAGTCCAACAAATGTTTGTAATTGTAATGATTACCCACACACGCGCATATAAAAGTGATATTGGTATACCTCAAGTTGCCTATGGCAAATATCTCAAAATGATCTAATTCATTTCAGTAGTAATAACTTTTGATTACAACGTTGTGCAAATTGTTTCCTAACTTCGTTGATGAAGGCATTAATTATAATTTTTCGCGAAAATTTCATAATGAGATTTCCATAGCGTGCGGAGCAGCAGAATGTGACAGGTCCCATTGCATCCAATGCATTCCATGTGAACTCTCCTGGCTTCTAGAGGTTCCATGTTGGTGATCGCAATTATTTCTGTATATGTAGCTATGCGAATAGCTGATGGTGAAACCCGCATAACGCCCATATAGTTCTAGAGCATTGATTCTAAAACATTTGAAATGCATGATTTCATATACATAATAATTTAGGAGAAAACTAGTGGTGCAAGGCATCGGGCCCTTAGAGCAAATTGCAGGAGCTTACCGTACCCTAATTTTAAATTTAAAAAAACTTTTTTTTAAAAAAGTGATTATGATCAATTTTGACCGCCAAATGGCATTTTTTGTCATTTTTTCCCTTTATCTCCGAAACCGCTGGGCCTGTTTTTCCAAAAATTTACACAATCATTAATTTTGCCAACTCAAGTAAAATGGTTTTTGAATCATTCAAATCGGACGCTAAATTCTCTCAAAAACTCAATTGTTGTATTTGGCGCTTCTTGCACCGTATCTTCGAAACGGCTGAACCTGCCTTTGTCAAAAATTAGCTCATCTCTCTTTCAATACAAATCGAATGCTTTTGGAATTATTCAAATAGGTTGAAATGTGTTCTCGACATTATACACATACGTACATACTACATACATTCATACACAGACACACATACATCAATCCATATTTTCTAAGGAATGTCAAAATATTCAACGTCATATTGAAACGTAAAGATATGCAGAAAATTTCATTTTCGTTTTTTTTGCGATTACTATATCTTATCCTACGGGAAGTTAATAATCAACGACATCAAGCAAAAAATGTTTGATTATCTTGGTCTTGTCGATTGTCTAATTTTTTGATCACCTTCGGTAATATCAGTTAGATATACAAATTTTTCAATATTTCAAACATTTATACCATGAAAAATTGAGATTTCCCAATTATATTTTCGATTAGTAACTTTAAAAGTTAGCGTTACAATCTGTAACACGAAATTACAAAATTAATCTAATCAATCTAAACTTAGAATAAAAACGCTTCAAAATAACATGAAGTTCAATTATAATTAATTTTTTTATTTGCCTATATTTCATTAACAAAATAACTATTTTTTGCACCAGCTTCTTGGCTACCTTTATGATGGCTGTATTTATAATTTATTTGTTTAAAAAGCATAATATAGTTTTCATTGCCACCTTTTTAAAGAACTAAGGTAAAATATTTTATATAGTTTATATGAGTATTTTGAGTATTTTGAAAATTGGATATTTTTTATATCTTTATGAACTTGAATAAATCGTCGGGGTTTTTAAATATATTGCTTAAAAAAGATAAATCGGTTAGATATTTATAATAGTTATGTACCAACTTTATAATTTATTTTAGAAATTAGTGTTTCCATTTTTGACATGAATTTTTAAATTGTATAATTTTATTCAATAAGAGTTAAAACTAATCATTTCCATAAATAATATTAGCAGACAAATGTATTATTTTATAATTTTCAAGACAGCAGCAAATATCTACAATATATGTGTGTCTTGAGCAAATATTTCAACGTCGCTATTGAGAAAGTTGGAACTATATAGAATCTCGCAGAGATATGCTTTACTACTGTTTCTCTGAAGAAAACAAAGGTTGAATACCGCTATTACAGATCAGTACGACCTCCTAACGATCTTGTGCATATTCTGCGAGAAATCAGCAATTTCTTCAATGAATAGAATAATTATTTCTATAATGAACATGTCTAGCGGAGCAACACATGAATCATAATAAAACATAGCATTAAAGTATTGTAACTTTTTAAAACACTTAATAATTTTATAAGTGTCTTTTATAAAAAAAATAAAAGACTCTTATATAAATGCTTTTTTATGAACATATAAAATCAAGAAAAAATAGTAAAATATTTAATTAGAACTAATATACATTCGATTATCAATTATCCATAATTATTATTTTTAGGCCCGCATGGAAGTGGAGGATCTGTTCACAGACCTGGCTGATGGTAGAAAATTATTAAAGTTATTAGAAATTATATCTGGTGAAAAACTTGCAAAACCTAATACGGGTCGTATGCGTGTACATAAAATAGAAAATGTGAACAAAAGTTTAGCATTTTTACACACAAAGGTATAATATTTAATTATAAATACACTAATATATATAAATAAATATATTTAATTTATGTATTTATTCTTACGACAGGTACGCTTAGAAAGTATAGGTGCTGAGGACATAGTCGACGGAAATCCTCGACTTATATTAGGTTTAATATGGACTATAATTTTGAGATTTCAAATACAAGAAATCGAAATTGATGTGGTATGTATTTTATAATTTTTTATTTGTTCATTTAAATGAACTTCAAATTACTTTTAATGTACTTTCTACAGGACGAAGAAAATGAAAGTAGTGAGAAAAAATCTGCAAAGGATGCATTGCTATTATGGTGCCAAAGGAAGACAAATGGATACCCGGGCGTTCACATCCAAGATTTTACCACCTCCTGGAGATCCGGTCTCGGATTTAATGCTCTTATCCATTCACACAGACCTGATCTATTCCCTTGGAGTTCTTTACAGCCCGGTAAAAATATTGAAAATTTAAATCATGCCTTCGAAGTTGCCCATTCAGAACTTGGCATTCCGCGATTGCTTGATGCCGAAGATGTCGATACAGCGCGGCCAGATGAGAAAAGTGTCATTACTTATGTGGCTTCTTACTATCATACTTTCGCCAGGATGAAAAATGAAATGAAGAGCGGTCGGAGAATTGCTAATGTTAGTAGAGATTTTTCGCTATTTATTTAATTGAGGGTTCATATAGACATTGAATATATCTTGGCATATGATTGATTGATTATGTATAATTTATATAAATTTGTTTCTTTAATAGATTATTGGTCAAATGGTCGATGCTGATAAGAGAAAGGTGCAGTATGAACGATTAACAAGTAAACTTTTAGAATGGATTTTGTTGAAAGTACGAGTTTTGGAAGACCGGCAATTTCCAAATTCACTAGAAGGGATACAGAAAGAGTTACTAAATTTTAAGCAGTATAGAACTGTTGAAAAACCACCAAAGTATGTTTAAATGCTACAATGCTCTAGAACTTTATACATTTGAATTTTGTTAATTTTTTTTTATTCTAGGTACATCGAACGCAGTGAAATCGAAGCTCTGTATTTCCACATCAACACATTACTGAAATCTTTAAATCAACCACTTTATACGCCACAAGATGGACAACTTATTCAAGATATAGAAAAAGCTTGGGAAGGATTAGAAAGAGCTGAACATAATCGTGAGGTTGCGCTCAGGGAAGAACTTTTAAGACAGGAGCGACTAGAACAGCTAAATTATAAATTTGAAAGAAAGGTAGGACGGTTATTTTTTTTATTAAGTTTTCAATCTTATGTATTTGTTTAATTATTTTGTAGAGCGTTTTAAGAGAAGGTTATTTGAAAGAAATGATTCACGTTCTTTCCGATCCAAGATATGGTTCAAACGTTGCGCAAGTGGATGCAACAGTTAAAAAACATGAAGCGATATCTGCAGACATTTTTGCAAGAGCGGAGAGATTTAATGATTTAACGAATATGGCAGATGAATTGTATCACGAAAATTATCATGGCAGAGATAGAGTCAAACTACGTGAGAACGAAGTGAGTATAAAATTTAAATCACTATTGGTAAAATAACGCAAATTGGATAATTATTTTAATTCTATTATTTGTAGGTTTTAGAAAAATGGAAGCAATTGTTGTTACTTTTAGAAAAGCATAAAACAAACTTAACTCTCTCGAGCAACCTTATGGTCATGCTCAGAGAAATTGATACTACGATGATGACAATTCAAGATTTAGAGGTAAATTACGAACTACATTTTTGAATATAATAAGTTTATTTATGAAATTTATATTCATCATTTATAAGTATATTTGTTTACTTTGTAGTCGACATTCAAGTCAGAAGATGTCGGCCCTCATCTATTAGGAGTAGAGGAATTACTGCAACAACACTCTTTGCAAGAATTGCAGGTCGGCGCGTTGGGAGAAACGCAGCGAAGATTGGGCAGACAATGCCAACAGTACCTAAATAATGGACATAAAGAAGCAGCACTTTTAGCCCAAAGTTTAGAAAAATTAAACAAGGCATATGCAGAGTAAGCTCATTGCTTGTTCGATTGTTTTACATGATATTGATTCGCACATTTCAATGTACATGTATTTTACAGTTTGTTAGAGCATAGCAAGAAGCGTCGGACACGCTTGGAAGATGCAAGAAATTTGTTTCATTTTCTGCAAGACCACGAAGATGAAGAGCGGTGGGTGGTGGAACGCCAAAGAATTTGTAAAGCCGGTATCACAGCCAAAGATCTACGTGCCGTATTTAGTCTTCAACAAAAACATAAAGCTTTGCAGGATGAAATGAAGGTAATTTTCAATAGTATTAATATTACTCAATTAATAATGGCGCGTGTTTATCTAATATTTTGGAATTTCTAGGCAAGGAAACATAAATCAGAACAATTATGCAATGCTGGGCGGAAATTGCAGGCGGATAAACATCCTCGAAGTACCGAGATTCAACAACGTGCGGAAAGTCTTTTAGCCCACTGGAAACTTCTACATGAACTTGTGGACTTGCGTAAAAAGCAATTAGATGATGCTGCAGAAGCTTATCAAGTATGGGTTATAATTTACATTTTGAGAATCATTAAATTCAGTAATTATAACAAATAATGATATTTTTTCTTTATTCGCACATAGTTCTACACCGATGCAAATGAAGCTGAATCATGGCTAAACGAAAAAATGGCATTAGTTACTTCAACTGATTATGGTACAGACGAGCCATCTGCGCAAGCTTTATTGCAGAGACATCGCGACTTGCAAGGAGAATTAAATGCTTACTCCGGTGATATTCATAGCTTGAATATTCAAGCTGATAAACTTGTGAAATCTGGAATCAATAATTTAGAGGTAATGAAAGTTACAGCTAGCGCTATTTCTAATTATTTTCTGCCATTTTCTGATGATTATTTATTATGTAAATAGTTATCTAACGAACACCAGCCCATTCCGGAGGAATATGAGCAAGAAGAATGGGTTAACGAAACTCGTTTGGTGCCTACTGAAGTTTGGGAAGATGAACCTGTGGAACGATTTGAACACATCACGGTGATGGAAGAGAGGTCTTTACCTCAAGTTAAATCTAACTACGCTTACTCTGGTCAAGGAATGAATATTAGCAAAGGCGAAGTAATGATCCTTTTAAATAAAACAAATGAAGACTGGTGGTCTGTTCGTAAGATGGACGGAACAGATGGTTTTGTACCAGCTAATCACGTTAGAGAGATCGAACCGCGAGTTATTCCCGTTCAAGTGCGGCGACCACAAAAGGTTAAAACAGTCCAGAAAGTCAAGAAAACGATTTTAGTTAAGAAAGTAGTACCTGTGAAAAGAGTAAAATCCATTAAAGCACAACCAAAGACAGCAGTTGTTAAACAATTGCAAGATGATAATAATAAGAACGTCGAAAACCGCCAGAAAAGAATTAATGAAACATATAATCAATTGCAAGAATTAGCTCAACGTCGTCATGCCTTGTTGGAGGATTCGATCTGCCTCTACGGTTTCTTCAGAGAGTGCGACGATTTTGAGAAATGGATTCACGATAAAGAGAAATTATTGAAAGCAGAAGATAAGCATTCTAATGTTGATACTGCCAAGAGGAAGTATGAAGTAAGTAATCATTTCACACATATTGTGATATACTTCCTTCAAGCAAATAACAGTTTGATTCCTATTCTAGAAATTCTTGACGGATTTATCAGCTAGTAGTAAGAGAATAGATTCCATCAATGCTGCAGTAGATGAGTTTACACGCCAAGGCCATTCACAAATGGAAAAAATAAAGGCACGTCAGCGACAAATTAATCAATTGTGGGACAATCTTAATTGGTTAAAATCGCAAACAGAAAAGAATTTGGAAGGTGCATCAAGGTACGATTGACGTTATTTTAAAATTTAAATGCTTTGGTTTTTGTTGATTAAATGGGTATTAATATATTGTTGTTTTTTTTAATATTATTATAGTGTGGAGCTGTTCCATCGTACTTGTGATGAAGCATCTGATTGGATGAATGAGAAGATGACACAATTAGATACAGCTGAATTAGGACCTGATTTGAAAACAGTTCAAGCTTTACAGAGACGACACAAAAATTTAGAACGGGAATTGGCTCCAGTCGAAGAAAAAGTTAATAGAGTGAATCTACTTGCTAATTCGTAAGTGAATTTAAAATTTAGTTCATATTGTTAAAAATCATCGAATTGCAATCTTTACAATGATTAACTGTCATTATTTTTATAAATATAATAATTATCAAATGCAAACAATATTCCTAGCATACAATACACGTTGCTATGCATCTTCTCTATGATTATAAATTAAATGCTATAAAAAATTTAATTTTATAGTGTGAAATCTTCTTATCCAAATGAGAAAAATAACGTCGATTCTCGGCAAAAAGAGATTTTACGCATGTGGAACCAAGTGAAAGAAAAAGCTATAGAACGTAGATCACGTCTTGAAAACGCTGTAGGACAACAAATTTTCATGAACAGTGCCAAGAATTTACAAGATTGGGTAGCTTTAGTTAAAGATCAAATGAAAATGGATGAAACAGTCAGAGATGTTATGACAGCTGAAAATGTTCAGAAACAACACATGGAACTCGGTGACGATATTAAAGCGCACACTGATGAGTTAGTGTTTTTTCTTATTTTTAATAAAATAAAATAATTTGTCTATAATATTATTTCTTTTCATAGATTCAAAGAAATTATTTCATTGGGTAAAAAATTAATTCATAATAATCCAAATATTCCTGAAGTGGCTGGAATTATTAAACAACTTGAAGCTGATGAAAAAGACATAAAATATTTATGGGACCGAAAGGCTGCATGGCTAAAACAATGTCTCGAGTTACAATTATTGAATAGGGAAGCAGATCAGATAGATGCATCCACATCTGGCCATGAGGCATATTTAGAGTTAAATGACCTTGGGGTATGAGTAGAAACAGAAGGTTTATTTTTATGATTACGCTTGCACTCTATATGCTAATTATTTTTTATTTTTAATTTAGAATTCTATTGATGACGTCGAAGCTTTATTAAAACGCCATATGGACTTTGAAAGCACCTTAAGCGCACAAGATGAGCGTCTGAGAGCTTTCGGTGAGCTTGCAGACAAATTGGTTAACGAGAATCATTATGATAAAAACTAGTAAGTATGCTCAATCTATCAAGAAAATATTTGTTAGTTGTTTATTCTCAAATCCAAATTTTATTTTTCAGTATTAAGGATAGAAAGCGTCAGGTTCTTGATCGCCGCCAGGCAGTGAAAAATCTGGCACAAGCTCGGTACAATGCTTTGCTTGCATCTAAAAATTATCAAGTATTTTCAGCAGAAGTTGAAGATTTCAATAATTGGTGCACTGAAAAAATGAAGACTGCTACAGATGATAGTTATAAAGATCTTAGCAATTTAGAACGTAAATTACAGAAGCATGAAGCTTTTGAAAGAGAGTTGAGAGCCAATGAAGGACAACTTCGAAATGTGAATAAGGTATATTTTATAATTTAACATCAAGTACTCAGACTAATTCAATGGTAATAATTAATGGTACTAATCATTATAAATATTTTAGACTGGGCAGTCTTTGATATCACAGAATAATCGAGGAGATGAAATTGCTCAAATATTAAATGAATTAAACAGGAAGTGGGAGGCTTTAGTTGGTCTTTCAAGAGACAAAGGCCATAGGCTTAGACAAGCTGCTAATCAGCATGGGTAATAATTTGTGAATTTTGAAATTCACCCTAAATTATCTGTGTAATAAATCTTAAATGATAATTTTATTGTTTCAATAGATTTAATAAAAGTATGGAAGATACACAGCTAAAATTAGTAGAAATTGAGAATGGATTACAAAGTGATCGCGTTGGTTCTGATTTACGTAGCTGTAAAGACCTTATAAAAAAACATCAGGTAGGAGAAACAAATGTTTTGTTCTACACATATATATCTATTTTAAATACTGATTTAATGTTAATTTTATAGGCTCTTGAGTCAGACGTATCATTATTAGAACTAAAAATTTTGGAATTAGTATCATTAGCCAAAGAAATGGCTCATGAAGGACATTTTGATGCAGACAATATAGTGAAAGAAGCTTTACAGAGACAAAAGGAGTTTAATAACTTACAAGAACCAGCAAAGAAACGCCAGGAAGCATTACAAGAAAGTTTCAAGTAAGTGGTATTTTATTTAAGTTTTGTGTTATTCAGCTAGATTGCTGGACATTTATATATCTTCATCAATTTTCAGATTCCACAAGTACAGTTTTGAACTTGAGGCAGAAATGCAGTGGATTAGAGATCATTTGCCACAAGCATCATCTGAAACGATTGGACAAAATTTGCATCAAGCACAATCTCTCCAAAAGAAGCATCGTAAATTAGAAGCTGAAATTCAGGGTCATCAAACAATGATTGATAAAACATTAGCTACTGGCAAGGCTCTGATTGAACAAAAACATCCAGAAAAGGAAAAGGTATTATATTCGTAATTGTGAGCTTTTATCATAATTTCTGTTTTGATCAGTACATTTTATATGATTGTTCATGGAAAATTTTTCTTCTTAGATGGACATCCAGTGCTGGTAAAAATTTATTAAACATAAGTGGTAAAAAGTGTATTGCATGCATTCACATGGAGTTACAGCATGTTAATGTGTGTGATTTCAAATTAGTACCCCTGATTTTTTTTAAGCTTTATTTTAATAAATTTTGTTGTGTCTTTTTCATTGTTTAGAATAGTGTGCTTTAATCACTGTTGCGAGAGAAATCATAATTTTTATAACTTATTTTCAATAAGTTTTTTGAAGATAGATTTTCTTTTATATTGCCCTTTGTGAGCTTTGTAACACTGACTTATCAGCAGTGGTTTAACAAACATATTTTAGTTTTGTCTCGACTTATTTCTAAGATTGTTTCTAATTAGGTATCTGCATTATGTACAATGCTGGAAGAAGCATGGAAAGATTTGGAACAAAAGGCTGCTGCAAGGGCTGTTAAATTAGATTTATCACTGAAAGCACAGCAATATTTCTCTGAAGCAAGTGAAATTGAGAGTTGGCTCTCTGAGAAGAATAATGTACTCAGTTCTACAGACTATGGAAGAGACAGAGATGCTGCTACTAAATTATTAACAAAGCACAAAGCTATAGAATTAGAACTTGATACATATTCAGGAATAGTAAGTGAGATGGGTCATGGTGTCTTAGCTATGGTAGCTGCAAAACATCCAGATTCGAAAACAATTCAGTCCAAACAACAGTTCTTGGAACAGCAACTTAAAATGTTACAACGACTTTCTGTTCAAAGACAACAGAGGTTAATGGAAAGCATGTATAGGTACATTCATATATAAAATAAGTCATTTATATTTAAATTGATGTATAAATAATATAATTTAAATATTATATTTAGGCATGAATACTTTTTGGAATCAGCAGATTTGGAACAATGGATTAAGGAGCATGTTCAAACTGCATCATCTGAAGATTATGGTCAAGATTATGAGCATTTATTGGTATGTTTTAACTTGCATAAAATTATATATATCAGAATACAATTTTCAATTTTTTAATAGGTCTTGCAAGCCAAATTTAATGACTTGAAACATCGCATTGAGACTGGATCGAAACGATTCAAGCAATGTGAGGAATTAGCAAAGAAATTAATTGCTAATGAAAGTCCTTATCTGCACGAAATAGAAAAACGTCAAGAACATCTGCAGTATGTATTTTTAAAACTAAACTTTACTTAGTGAAGGGATTAATTTATTTGTTAATATAATTTTATTAATTTAATTAGAAATTCTTGGCAACAATTACTGAGATTATTGCAACATCGTGAACAAAGATTACATGCAGCAGGTGAAATTCATTTATTTAATCGCGATGTAGCAGAAGCTCTATCTCGTATCCAAGATAAAGATGCTGCCTTATCAGATGATCTGGGTAGAGATTTGAATTCAGTTCTTGCATTAATTCGTAAACACGAAGGATTTGAAAATGATTTGGTTGCTTTGGAAGCACAGCTACAGGTACATTCCACAAGATATAATTTTAAGACAAAGAAATGTAACAATTTACTTCATAGGTACTAGTGGAAGATGCTGCTAGGCTTAATGCATTATATCCAGGAAACAACGCAACCCAAATTTCACAACAACAGGATATAGTAATATCAAATTGGGAAGCTTTGAAAGAACGTTCTGCCCAGCGAAGAGACCAACTACAGGCCAGCTGTGATCTTCAGAGATTTTTGACACAGGTATATCTATAGTCAATTAATCATATATTTATTTAGAATAATTTAACATAAATTATATATTTGTAGGTCAGAGATTTGACAAACTGGGCATCAGGACTACGGGCTGCTTTATTGGCTGAAGAAAAAGTTAGAGACGCTGCTGGCGCGCAAAGTCTTAAAGGAGAACATGATGCTATTAAAGGCGAAATTGAAACACGAGAGGAAAGCTTTAGAAATGTCGTTGATTTAGGAGAGGCTATGGTTCAAACCGGACATTACGCAGCTGCTGTATGTATTGACTTTATTTACTAGATTTTTTCTTTTTCTTTAATTGGTTCAAATTATTCATTTATTTCTCAGGAGGTTGATGAAAAATGCAGTGCGTTGCTTGATGAACGCCAAAAGCTCCACACCGCCTGGCAGCATAAGAAGGTACATTTGGACCAGTTAATCGACTTGCACTTCTTTCTTCGTGATGCCAAGCAGATTGATAACTTATCAAGTGCCCAAGAAGCAGCATTGGTCAGTTCTGATTTTGGCCAGTCTGTAGAAGTTGTAGATGCACAAGTTAAGAAACATGATGCATTTGAAAAATTAATAAATACGCAAGAAGAAAAAGTAGCCGCTTTGCAAGAGCATGGGTCTAAACTTGTGGAGCAAAACCATTTTGACAGCGAACGAATTGGAAGGAGAATGAATGAGGTAAAAATTAACAAACAATGAATTAAAAGTTGAGATGTATTACTTACATTTTTTTAAATTTTAGGTTCTTAATAGAAGAAAGAAAGTTAAAGAACTCTGTATTGTAAGAAGACAAAAATTAGAAGATGCTTTACTGTATGCTCGATTTGTCAGAGACTGTGAGGAAGCTGAGTCATGGATAAATGAAAAACAGAAGAAATTAGAATCTGACGCTGACAAAGGTAATATATTTTTTATTTACTATAATATGAGTTCTATTAGGATGTTAATCAATAATGTTGATTCATTTAAGGTGATGTGACCACATTAGAGGATAAGATCAAAAAATTGCAAAAACATCAAGCATTCCAAGCAGAAGTGAGCGCAAATGAAGGAAGAATTCAAGAAATAGAACATAAAGCCAAGACATTAATAGCGAAAAAACACAAGAGTTCTCCGGAAATAAAACAGATGATGGACAATTTAATGAAAGCCTGGAAGCAATTATTGCATGAACTTGCAAAACGAGGCCGCGGTTTAGAAGAAGCTCAGGACATTCTCGAGTTTAACAACCAACTAGAGAAAATTGAAGCTTGGATTAGAGATAAAGAAATGATGGTTCAAGCTAACGATACTGGTCGCGATTACGAACATTGCATGGCTTTACAAAGAAAATTGGATGATGTTGATTCAGACATGAGAGTTGATGATGCAAGAATAAAGGCACTAAATGCTTTGTCAGAAAAACTCATCAAGCAAGGACCATCAGAATTAAAAGCTGTGCAACAAAGACGTGATACATTTAACAACAAATGGAAAGCACTGCAAGGGGCACTTTCAAATTATCGCAATCAGTTATCAGGAGCTTTGGAGATCCACTTATTCAATAGAGATATTGATGATACTTTACAACGCGTTACAGAAAAAGCGGCTACAATGAAAACTGATGATACGGGCCGTGATTTATACACCGTCGAGTACTTACAACGGAAACAAGAAGCTTTAGAACGCGATATGACTGTTATTGAGGAAAAACTTAAGGATCACGGCAAAGAATCCATTTCTCTATCTAAAAAATATCCTCATAAGAAAGATGATATTAATGAAAAACTTCAAGAATTGAAAAATCATTGGCAAGATTTGCAACAGCTAATTAACCAAAGAAGAGAAAAACTGAAGAATGCATATATTTTACAGAAGTTTATGTCAGATTTGCGAGAATTGGAAGCGTGGGTTACAGATGCTGTAAAGAAAATGAATGCTGGGGATTTACCAACAACTATAGTAGAAGCAGAAGCCCAACTGGAATTACATCAAGAACGGAGGGCTGAAATAGCTGGCCGAGAAGATACTTTCAAAGCTTTGAAAGAGTTTGGCTCTAATTTATCTACTAAGGGTAATCCAGATATCAATGACTCTTTAATTAAATTAGATAATTTACATAAGACATTGTATGATGCTTGGGAGAACCGCAAGCAAAGAATCACTCAAGCACATCAACTTCAATTGTTCAAGGAACAAGCAAATCAAATAGAAACTTGGTTAGCTACAAAGGAAGCGTTCTTAAACAATGATGACTTAGGGGTAAATTTTCAATATATATTATGGTATTATAATTACTTTTATTAATGCGTAATTTTAAATGCATTTTTATGTACTTGCAGGAGACTTTCAGCGCAGTAGAGCTATTAATACGTAAACATGAGAACTTTGAAAAAATGTTAATGTCTCAATTAAATCGCATAGATGAACTAGATCGTTTTGCAAAAGACATCTTATCGGAGGAACATTATGATAGCAATGTTATTTTGCAAAGACTTAATGCAGTCAAAACTAGAAGAGACAAATTAATTGATTCATCAGCACTTCGCAAAAAACAACTGGAGCAATCACAACAGCTTCAACAATTTATGAGAAACTTATATGAAGTTGATGCATGGCTTCATCAGAAGATTCAAATTGTCAATGATGAAAATTATAGAGATCCTAGTAACTTACAAAGTAAGATTCAGAAACATGCAGCTTTTGATTCTGAACTTTCAGCAAATAAAGGAAGGGTTATAGCTATAACCGAAGAAGGCCAAAAATTAATAGGTAAGTTAAATGAAACATTAAAATTTACTTTGCTTTGACAAAGATGTTATAAGTACATTTTTTGTAGATGTGAAGCATTACGCCTCAGATGAAATACAAGAACAATTAGGACTTTTAAAAGCTAAATGGGATAAATTATTAGACATCACAAAAGTAAAGAAAACTCGACTTGAAGAAGCATATCAGGCTTTACTTTTTGGCAGAATGTTGGACGAGTTTTGTCTATGGATGGATGAAGTGAGTGAAATTATTTATTCTCATACATAAATTTTAATCTGCATATTTTATTATTATATTTTTAACAATATTTATATATTTTTAAGGTTGAAACACACTTGCAATCAGAAGACCATGGCAAAGATTTAATATCTGTTAACAATTTATTGAGAAAACACTTGGTTCTTGAAAACGATGTCCAACAACATGCTGACAATTGTGAAAGCATTAAAACTATGGATAGTCAATTTTTAGAAAACGATCATTTTATGAAAGACGAAATTCATGAACGTGCTATGAACGCCATTAAGAGGCAATTATAACATTTCTTTGTGAACTATTGAAGTATGAATTTTGTTAATTAAAAATAATTAAATTTTGCAGGTACTATTCTCTACAGGAACCTATGCAAATCCGTCGTGATAATCTGGAAGATGCTCTACTCCTTCAGCAATTCCTTAGAGACACTGAAGACGAGTTGCAATGGCTCGATGATAAACGCCCACAGGCGGAGTCTACAGATTTAGGTTCAAGTCTAACAGCTGTGCAAAGTTTGCAAAAGAAACATCAATTGTTGGAATCAGAACTTCTGTCTAGAGAACCAATTGTCTCAAATCTGAATATTCGAGCACAACAAATGATGAGGAGTTGTCATTATGCAGCAGAAAAGATTGAAGAGAAAAGTAATTCTCTGAATAAAAAACTATCTCATTTAAGAGATTTGGCTGGTGTCAGAAGACTAAGATTACTTGATGCAGTGGAGAGCCAAATGGTATTGTATTTTGATAAATGTTTATATTATGATTATTATTTGCTTCATTTTAATTGAACATCTTGAAAAAAAATTCTAGTTTTATGCTGAAGTCAGTGAAGCAGATGCTTGGATTAGAGAAAAATATCCTCTCCTTGTTTCCAATGATTATGGAAAAGATGAAGATTCTGTACTATCATTGCAGAAAAAATTAGAAAGTCTTAAATTAGAATTAAAATCATTTGAGTCTTCTATTGAAAAGTTGACTAAGTTAGCCCAAGGTTTAATAGATCGTGGCCATTTTGATAAAGAGAATATAAAAATTAGACAAGCTGATATTGAAAAACAATTTGACAATTTGAAAAGCTTGAGTTTACAAAGGGAAAAACGGCTTGCTGAGAGCAAGAAATTCTTCCACTTTATTCAAATGGTAGAAGAGGTTCAGGAGTGGATAAATGATCAGATATCAATTGCAGATTCTGAAGATTATGGAACTGATGTTGAACATGTGGAATTGCTCATAAAGACTTTTGATACTTTTGTAGCAGGATTAATAGCTAGTGAAAGCAGAATTATAAATTGTACAGACACAGGAAAGAAATTGATTAAAGAAGGAAATCCATGTGCTGATACTATTCGAGATAAAATTGATGAAACAAAACAATTGTGGGATGACTTAAAAGAATTAGCTCATGTTCGGCAAGAGGTAAGTTTTATTTCTGTCATTTATATTATGTATAATGTGATTCTATTTCTAACTGAACGGTTTTTTATAACTTATTAGGCATTGGCTGGTGCTAAACTTGTTCATGTGTTTGACCGCAATGCTGATGAAACTATTTCCTGGATAGCTGAAAAAGAATCGAACATAGCAACTGACAATAACTATCAAGATTTAGAAGGCATACAATCACTAGCAAGACAACATCAAGGTTTTGAATCTGACTTGGCTGCTGTGAAAGCACGAGTGGACTCCATAATATTAGAAGCTGAAAGATTAGCTGAAGTATTTCCTGATGCTAAAGAGCACATTGATGTGAAGCGCGAAGCTACCATGGAAGCTTGGACAGACTTACTAGAAAAGGCTGAACAGAAAAAGGATAAATTGGCTCAAGCAGAACAGCTACAAGTGTACTTTGATGAATATAGAGTTTTGATGTAAGTGTTTATTTAAAAATGTTTAGACATATTCATGCTAAAAATTTATTTATTGCATTATATATGTACTATTTTTTAGGGCATGGGTGAATGAGATGATGGCCAAAATCACATCAGCTGAACTTGCAAGAGATGTTCATGAGGCTGAGATGACTCTAACAAGACATAATGAATATAAAACTGAAATAGATTCGAGGCATGAAGCTTTTGTTAAATTTTACCAAGCTGGACGCAAACTGATTGACGATAGACATTTTCAATCTGAAGATATTCATGAAAAAATTGCTATCCTTGAACAAAGGAAGAAATTACTGGAAGATACATGGGAAAAAAGGAGAGTGATATATGAACAAAATTTGGATACACAGATGTTCAAGAGAGATGCAGATTTACTTGAAAATTGGCTTCAATCTCGTGAATCGCAATTGCGTGACGATAAATTGGGTGACACAATACAACAAGTGGAAGATTTAATTAGAAAGCATGAAGATTTCCAGAAAACAATTGAAGCCCAAGAGGATAAATTTAGTGCTTTGAATAGAATAACAATGGTAAGTAGATTATTATCAATATGCAAAATATTACTGATTTGACATTTAAAATTTTGATAAGTTATTTTTTTTTTTTATTTAATAGATTGAACGAGCATTCCAAAAACAATTGGAGCAGGAACAGTTGGCTCGTCAAGCAGAACGTGAGCGAGTGGAACGTGAAAGAGTTGATGCAAGAAAACGAAAGGAAGTGCAACGAATTACAGATGAGAGAAGGCGAGAAGAAGATCGCAGGCGTATTGTGCCAGATAGACCACAGAGAGATGATATCATAAATGGATCATCCAGACATTTGATGTCGGAGAATGATAATCCAGCAATAACTTCAAATAAGGATGATAAATCTTTACCTTTCAACAATGGTCAAGATATTCCAGCTCATAAGCCTAATTCAATAACTAGTATGCTTGTGAATAAGCAGAAGAGGGATGATCCTAATGTAAAGCGTGCTGAAAGTATGAAAGTAGGCGGAATCAGAGTTCCCAAGAGAACTCCATCATTTACTACTCGAAGAAGAACTCAGAGTTTCAGAAAACTTCATAAAATGGAACAGGTATTTGTAAGCTTTATAAGTATTATTTTTAATATTTAATTTTACGAAAAACATTTTAACAAATAATTTATTAAAGCAGAGCGATTTACCTCCTGTTGAGATTCAAGGATATATTGAACGGAAGCATGAATTGCAAAGTGGTCGTAAGAAGGCAGCGGTCAGGTCTTGGAAACCATATTATGCAGTATTATGTGGACAATTATTATGTTTCTTCAAAGATGACAATGACTTTGCCGAGAGTAAGGCGGCCACTTCACCGATTGTTATATTGCATGCCAAATGCGAGCAAGCTGAAGATTACACAAAGAAGAAGCATGTTTTCAGGTTAACATGTTCAGATGGTTCTGAATTCTTATTTTTGACACAGTCTGAGAAAAATATGCAAGACTGGATAAATAAAATCACATTCCACGCTAACTTGCCGCCGAATCTTCAACTTCTGAGTTATGATGAGTCACAAAAAGTAATATAATTGAAATGAAATATTATTTGATTATATTCTATTTCATATTTAATAATTTTTTTTTTTAGGATACATCATTAGCAGCTCAAGCTATAAAAGCTTCAGCAAATAACAGTATGGAAGCTGATACAGCAGAGTTAAGTTCAAACTCTTCCAGATCATCTTCACCACAATCCCAAAGGCATTTGTCTAATCCTCCTAGTCCTTCAAAAACCCCTTCTTCACAGACTCACTTGTTACAACTTCATATGCAAAATCGAAGAGACCAGGTAAAAATATATAAAAACCTTGCTTTGTTTTATATTTAAAATATTCTCAATTTTACATTTAATATTATAATAAAATCTTAAATCAATTGTATATTATTTATTAAAATCATAAGCATAGAGGTCAGATCGAACAGTAGTATGGAAATGAATCAAATTTTGGAACTAATTCCATCATAATGTATCTCATTGTTATTTTTATATTAGATGATAAATAAATTCTCAATAATGACAATTCTAAGTATGTTAATAAATCTAAGCTTGTTAATGATTTGTCATTAATTCAATGTTGATTTTTGATTTTAGGTTCATCCAGAAGTTGTACAACGTCCCAAAGAAGCTTATAGTAGCAGTCAAGAAGTGCCTTACAGGCATTCTCAGAATTATGGTGATAATTCAGTACCACCCCAGTATTCAAATACTGTCACTGTCAGCGTTAGACCACCACCTCCACCTGTGCCAATTAGAACATCAACAAACCCTGATTATCATCGGAATACAATTTCTCATGATGGTATTAAATTAATAAATTACTTTATAGTAATTTTATAATTTGGTATTTTATTTCATATATTTTTTAGTAGAAATGGATGCAGGGCATAGGTCTCAACCAAACAGCCTTTCAGCAAATGGATCACATGCTAATGACAGTCTGCGAAGGCATACTGGTGAATATGCATACACTTCAGGTAGCTTTCTTATAATTCAATAATCTATAGAAAAATTTTGTTTGTATTTGCTTTAACAATATTGGACTTACTTGCGCAGTCCCAGAGCTCAATGCCATAATTCCACACAGGCTTCAGAATGGATTTATATATCAAAACTTTACATAGATAAATCGAACTGTGTAAACAGAATTGAAGTTGCTCAAATCAATAATAATTGTTTAATGTTATTACATAATTGGTCTTATTTTTGTTTATGCTGACCTTACACTAGACATACTATTTAAATTATATAATGTAAAAATCAGTAGTTTAAATTTAAACGTTTGTATTTGTTTTTGTGTTTTTCTAGGTTGGGGGCCTAGTCGTTTAGATGGAGGTCGTGCGACTTCGTTGCATTTGTCTGACACAAGAGAAACTTCAGATACACCAAATGGTAGTGACAATACCACACCAAATGCCATAAAAAATAATAGAAGGAATGGCATGTTCAATTTTCTTCGTCCTAATAAATACAGGCGCCAATCTAACACATAATGAATCACCAAGGTAATGGAAGAATTAGCATGCCAAATAAAACTCCATTAATAAAGTGGTATGTATATGTTAAAGAATTTAATTTAAGAATATATTTCAAAGTATTACCAAAATTGTACCAGAAGTTTACTTACATAACTTGAGTGGGAAACTTATTCCAAAAAGATGTATTTACGTTTGCATATAGTAGAATAAGATTTAATATGTAATATTACATGGAACTTAATTTTTAATTGTATATCAATCTTTAGTATAAGCAAGACTACGAGGACGTATTTTAATGTATATTAAAAATGATGTGTATAATCATTATTTCTATTTAATTTAAAAGAGTATATATTGAAATATCTATATTAAACAAATATTATAAAAATAATCATATATAAATTATAACAGCATTCTATTTTATTCCAATGGCATGAGCATTCAGGACGTAAAGTGATTAACAGGTTTCGATCAAAATAGAATTCTATAGTTTTTGTTCTAAAAGAAACGAAATTTTAAAAAAATTATGTTATTCGGAGGTTTTTATTACAGCTATTAAATTTTTTTAACTTTAGCCGTTATGTAATTTAGAAATATAAGAATATTTTAAATATTCATAAATTATATCAAATGATTTATTTTAAATGTTGATTTAAAAAGTATTGGATATGTAAATGTGACTATTTGTTTGACTTATAATATATATACATAAAATTATAATCTTGTTTTATTTAACATTTTCTTCAATTTGGGGAACTATTAACGACCATTAGAGTTCTATACTTGTTTTTCAGGGAACATTTAAGAAAAAATAGACACGTTAACTATATACTATTATATAAATTTTTAATACATAAATTATAGTTTCAGTTTATTAAAACTCAATTAATGGTTGAAAATATTTCTAAAACGTTCGAAAAATTTACGGTTTGTCAACGCAAAATAGTTTAAAATTTTTAGTTAATATATAAATCAATTATTAACTTCCTCAAGGAGAAGTTTATGTTTTCATCAAAAAATCCGATTCGCTAGTTTTATGTTTTCTCGACGTTTCAAGCCATTCTGAATCGAATGAGACCAAATTTGAAAAATGTATGTGTGTGTGCGTGTGTGTGAACAGATTTATGCACTTTTTCTATGAAACGCATATTTAACTTTTACTTTATTTTTTATTACATTTTTAAGAAATATAATTAATAAACTGGTTTGGGGTAACAATCAATTTTTACATCGAAATATTCAGTATTTTGCAAATATAATTTAGCAAAAAATATGTGATACACACTTTAGCCCAAAATTTCGTTTTTTTTTTTCAAATTAAACGCAAAAATTAAATTCACTCCGTGTTTCATTATTGCAAACATTGTAGCGTAGTCGTAACAAATGATTTTTTTATTCGTCAGTTATTTATTTGCGCCATAAATCATTGTAAATAACTCTCAGATGTGTTTTATATTGTTCTTTATGTAGTGATTATTATTATCTCGATCGTATATAGAGCAAATCTATTATATAGCTTATAATCGATAATGGAGCAGATATGTGTGTTCATATTTAAAAGTAATTATACTCTATTATGTAAGCAATTGCATGTAACTGCATCGGGAATGAATATTGTATGAACTTTATAATATTTTTTAAAATCGGAAGCGGTAAAAACTATTAAAAATTTGATTTTAGGTTTATAGAGAGAGCAAATAAAAATTACTATATTATTTTATACGATAATTAGGTTTGTGCAATCTATATGTCGTTTTATTTTTTGAATAAATTTTTTTTTGCTCTAATTTTGTTTTTCTCTAATCTAGTCATTCGCAATTTATACATTCTTTCATATTCATAAGTTTTTCGATTTAATATGATTTTTTAATATGAAATCTACATTGTACGTGTTTATAATTTTACGTACTAGTAAACATATGGGGTGTCCTATGGCGTGCGGAATGTGTGAACAGAGTCGTGAGTTCGAGACTCCGCTCTGGATAACCTGATATCACGCAGTAGTGATATCAATTTTTACTTGAAAATATCTGTGTGCGTGAATTCCAAAGAATATAAAAGAATAAAATGCAAAATTATTTAAATATGTATTCATATATAATATAAATTGAATTAGAAAGATGTCGGGGTCGATTTAGTAACGCTAAGTAAAATGATAGATTTGCATGTTTATTAAGGTGCCATTGGTAAATAACAAAAATATCAATACTGTTTCCCAATAGAATGATATATATATATATATATATATATATATATATATATATATATATATATATTGATTGTTTCTTTTCCGAACAGTAAATCCACATTTTTTATTATTGGATTTACTGTTCGGAAAAGAAACAATCAATATATTGAAAAAATCCAGGACTTATCTATTGAATATATATATATATATATATATATATATATATATATATTTATTTATTTATTATATACAATATAGGTTTGTAGCTGGCACCAAAATTAAACGCACTATTTCTGCATTTTTCGTATATCAAAAATATGTTATAATATAATAACATTTGACCCTTCGTCTTAGTGCACGCAATCGAGACGCATTTGTTTATATATACCCGTTTTTATAACATTGAAGAAACTATAACTGGGTTTCGAATAAATCAAGATTTTGGATTATGATAAGGAGGTGTCTATGGAAATGTAGGTTGTCTATAAATAAACAAATATGACATCGTTATATTATAATCGGATCATGTGTCGGTATTGGAAGTCGATAGGACGCCGATACAAATGTAAAGGATGATACTGCCGCTGAATCGAGCGGCGTCCCCGGATTTCGGTCCACAGACCTTCCAGGTCAAAGATTCTCGCGAGGATCATATGGACGTTTAAATCGAAGCAATGCCGTAGATCTTTTGTCATTAGGAGAATGTCAGATGTATCCATTATGATAAATGATATGGATGCGTTTCGATTTGTATCGAGCGTTGTGAATTACATTAGATCCAGGCCCCCTCCCTCCTATCTTGTAAATCTCTTGAAGGCGCTTGGCATCAGGCGGAAGCTAGATAAGATACAGGCGACAGAATATTGGATGTTCATAACGTCTTGGCGACGGCTGAGGCGTGTTTGGTGCTATTATATATTGTTTTAGTGATAATTATCAATCACGATATTTTCGTGAGTTAGTGTGTGTTGTTTTCATTGCTGGTTTTCATCATTAAGGTGAGTACCTGCCCGTTTCTATACGTCAACGTGTTCTCGAGCATCGGATACACCATGATTAAACACCGCGCGACCGCGCAACCATCCATGTGGACTTTTAACATTTCGTGTTAAATCCGCGCCCGACAGTATTAGTTCCGAAAAGAAGATAAGAAGAGAAGATCAACCGAAACTTTATAAATTATTATGTAGTATTTTCAAAACCTTCGTTTGATTTAACTGTGATACGCATACACACACAAAAGGATCATTTTAAAATGACAGATTGCGTGTTTTCGTATAAGTAACCGTTTTTTTTTACAAAAGTTTCATAACATCGTTAACAAATCATAATATCCGTTCTTTTGAAACAGTTTATCATCAATTTATCTCGAGTGACATCATATAGATTTATAAAAAATATAATTGGTTCATCACAATGCTATACATCAATCTGTATGCTTAATGAGACGAGTTAAAGTTCATATAGATAAGTTCAATTCTATTAAAAATGTTCTAAACATAGACAAGCGTGTTCTATGACATTCTTAACCTAAATATAAATTGAACCGCTGATGTACAATTATTCAATGCAATAAAAATAATAAATAGTTTGTAGCTGCATAATTGTGAGCGCCGCATCGTTTCGACTGCCACGCTAATTAATTGTCGTTTTATGCTTGTTACATCTGTCAGAGGAACTCATTGCCACTTGATGGATATACCATTTATTAATATTAATACAAATAAGAAATTGATGAAATTTTAATCTTTCGATTTATCATTTCCAAAAAAGTAGTAATTAAAATATGGACTAGCAATTTTTCAACATGCAGCTATTTGAAAAATTAGTTACTTGATTAAAAGAAAAATTTACCCATATATGATTAAAAGAACCAGAGCAATATATCAAACAACAATTAAAATTTTTTATAAAATATTTATAATTTCCATTTCTTTCGACATATTATCCTATGTCATTTCTATTGGAATACAAATTGAAAGGCAAGCAGAATACATATAACTACACAATTAAACAATGGAATGGATAAAACTAATCAAAACTAATATATAAAAAATGACACATTTTGCAAAAACTTACATGTAAATTGACGTGTTTCTAATTAACTAATGACAAATTACAATATTATAACCAGATTATTTATTGACAATTCAAAATAAAATTGTTACTACAAACAAAATCATTGTTTTGTAGTATTCTGATTTTTTTCAAATTGTAGTCAACTGAAAATGTTATAGAATGAATATGTCGAAACGTATAAAAATAATAAAGAATATTTAAATTTTTCATTTTTTATTTGATATAATATCCTAAAGATTTTGACGCACATATTTGAACATCAAAATTATTATAAAAAATGTTAAACACACACACACACACACACACACACATATATATATATATATATATATATATATATTTACATATATATTGTTACACATAATTTTTAATTAGAGTTTATATCATTAGTAAAAAACACATCTAAATAATACTTCCGATAACTGCAAGTATAAAAAACCTTAAGGTCCGCATTGTGTAACAAAAATATAATATCAATGAAATAGATATCAAAAGTTAAAATAAAAGTAATTTTATACGAAAGATATTATCAACGACGAAAATATTCTTCTTCATAACTTTCATCTGCAATTTCTATCTACTCTATTGCGTTATTTGTGCTTTCTACTTAATATTCCTTTTTATACAAAAACTCGCGTTTGTAACTATTAGTTTGTAATATTACAAAATTACAATCAGTGGTATTTATTGATGATAAATTATATTCTATTGCGGCCCTGATTATCTTAGAACTATTAGTTGTTTATAAACAGATTTTTTTTATAAAACTTTGATTTCCGCCAGTTGCGATAAAAGCTAGTTAGTTCGTTAGTGATCTTCTTCGATAACGAAGCTTCCGTAATAAGCTTTTAAAAGTCTGCAGAATATCTTGCAGTGAAACAAAATCAATTGTTTGATGATTAGTAATCAGTAATCTGTATCTTTCAAATTAATTGTTTTTGGACGACTTTTTGATTGACTATATTAAAGGTATCAATTGTATGCTTATTTTTTAATTGGGATAAATCACACATACATACATACATATATATATATATATATATATATATACACACACACACACACATATATATATATATATATATATATAAGCATACAAACGCATTAATTAATGTTTTCCAATATTTAGCCATAAAATATATCATTATATTTTTTGTTATAAATCTAGGTCTGAAGATAAGATAACCCACTTAAATTATTTCATATATATAGAATAACCCACTTAAATTATTTCGAAATAACAATGACCGCGCTTTCGTCTATTGACTATAAATTAAATGCATTTTTTATTAATATTTAAATACTTTTTGGTGGATTTATTTATTTTATTGAAATTTTACAATTATAAATCAATTGTTAATTTAATTTAGTTTTCTTTTTTTATATCTTTCTTTTATTAATTACAATTTGTCTTTACACAATAAAAAAGACATACAGAAATGTTGAGGATATATGAATATTTAACTATTTTTTTATACGAAATAATTATTTGCAATAGCTCCTTAGTATAAATGATTAACAACAATTTTGACTGTAAAAATTTTTAATGGTTCGAGATTTTTACCGTTTTAAATCAGGCTAATTTAGGGGAAAAATCAGGAAAGCGCCAAGATTCTACATTTTTAACTAATATTTATGAGGAGTCTGCTGAAGAAATTTGCACTCTTTACAAAAAGAGCTGGTCTATAAAAATTTTCTTTAAATTTAACTTGGCCATAGCAATTGCACAATCTTTGATCTTTAATTACTTTTAATTAATTTGTTGAAATTTTATACCACATATTTTATTGGTGCAGTGATGTAATTTTTCAAATGGTTATATATTCAAATTTAATTTGGCGGTTAAATTTTTTCTTTGAACGTGTGAATGACTTGTGGACTTGAATACAAAATATTGTGCTATTACCAGAAAAAAATGTTTATTTTTGGTATAAATACTTTAAATTAAACAATATTATTATTATTATTAATTTTTTTTTTTTTTTTTTTTTGTTAATTAGTAATTCGGATGCGGTGCGGGGTGGCGTGCGCGCTGTTGTGCGCGCTAACGCTGCTGGCGGCGTGCTCGTCAGTCGACGCGCGCACCCGGCGCGCCGGCCGGCACGGGGCGCAAGCACGTGAGCTCGCGCGCTCGGGGGTGCCACTGGCGGATAGGCCGCAGGCTCAGCAGGCTTCAAACGGTGATGATTACGATTATGTTTATGATCCGGATCTCTACACTGATGAAGACGAAAATGAGGAGGATGAAAACGGTAATAACCAAACATTATAATATTCTATAATAGTTCATGATAATAATTCATGAATTGTTCTGTAGGATTCGAGCATAACAAAATGTTTGATAAAAACAAAAATCAAAGGTAATAATGAAATAATAGTTATATGAGTAATAATTCTATAAACTATTATTTCATTATTACCTTTGATTTTTGTTTTTATCAAACATTTTGTTATGCTCGAATCCTACAGAACAATTCATGAACTTAAATTTACTTAAATATAGTATATTTATTATTTGTTTTTTATCTGAGTGTTTTACTTACCGCTAAAAGTGTAGTTATCCGTGTACATCAGATGTATTAGCAAACGGAAATAACCAAAGATTATAATATTCCATAAACATGTATAAACTATTATTCCATTATTACCTTTGATTTTTGTTTTTATCAAAACCTTTGTTAAGATTTAATCCTACAAAACAATTCATAAACTTAAATATACTTAAATATAGTATATTTATTATTTGTTTTTTATCTGAGTGTTTTACTTACCGCTAAAAATGTATTTATCAGTGTAAAACAGATGTATCAGTTTTGCAAATTTTTGCTTTGAATAGGATGTCGTTAGTTTTTGATTTTTTACTTTGCAGATTAATTTTTTTTCTGTAATTTTAGTTTCGATTTGGTTAAATTTCAACGACTAAATAAATACTTTATAAAAACTACTTGAATTTTAATCAAACTAGGTGATTTTATATTTATTTTCATTTCACTATATTTAATTCTTGGTACAGTTTTTTGTTACGATCGGATGCGTCGGATACACTATTGTTCAAATAACAATATAATAATAATAATAATGGTTAGTACTGCCTCAAGGCAGGTCCGTGAGCTGAGTTAAACACCAACTCGATTCAGGGAAGAAGTAGTTCGAGAGTTTTTCCCATTTTCATTTCACACCGCAGTACTCGAGATGGGCTTATTTTCAATTGGAAACATATTTTGATCTATATTTTTAATTAAAAATGGACATCGTGCTTTAAATAACAAGATATTGAATTGATGCAAATAACAATACACAACAATAATTAAATTTTCTTTTCTTTTACAACATAATTCATATAGTTCAAATCATTGTCTCAAAAGTTTTAATTTTTTTGTCATCAGGCTGAAATTTGATAGTTAGTGATACAGTTATTTTATTCAATTGCATTTCAATTAAAGTATTAAATAGAATACATATTTGATATATGTAAATTACAGCCTTATTTATATTTATATTATTTTTTTATTTTATTTTATTTGCTATTATTGGGTTTGACTCTACTATCTATTTACGGTGGAGCGATCTTGTACATATGACACCTTTAGAAAAAAATATCAATACGTATTGGAAGAATTAAAATACTGTAATATAATAATAAAAGACTATATTACTAGTAAAAAGTATTCATAGTTATGTGAAATATTTAGGGAATGCAAGCCCAAGGTATCCCGAACCAGCCCCCAATGAAGTGACAGAAATTTTCCGTCAGCCTGACGATGAAATTCCTCCACAGACTGGTAAGAAATATTATAGCAAACATGTTGAAAAAAAACGATTTAAAAACTTTTAGTAATCTCAAATTAGTCGTTATATGAACAGTAGATGTGTGAAGGGCACTGTTCTATGTAACGTCATATGTCCATAAATTAATTCTTATGAACTTTTATATAATTCAAATATATTATAAGTCGTTATCTCACATATAGAAAAACATTTTATATTTTCTAGAACCACCAACCCGTCCTCCACAGCGACCTCAACCAGGTTCAATTATAAGTAAGTCAATTATGATATTATTGCCTATTAGAAATAATGAATATAGCTATAGCATATTTTTCACTCAATAACAGTATAACTTAAAGTGAAGTGCAAAAATGTTGTAGATTTTCAATATCAGTATACAGATAATTATGTCTTGTCTTGAATCGAACCTTAGGTCCTTATTCCTGTTCCTGGAATGGAAAATGGTATTACGAAGGTGAACGTTTTAAACCATCGGAATGCACAGAGTGTTCGTGCAGTCAATCAACAGTCTCTTGTCGGCACATTGAAAACTGTAGACCTCGGGGTCGAGGTAAAATTGATAACGAGATATCACATTACATTACACGAACGTAGGCTTATTTAATACATTTTGTAATTGATATTTTCAAAAGATTATTATTTATATAGGATTTTTTGTGTATTTACTTATCGTCATATAACTTAATACGAATAGATATAGTTTTTGCGATACTTATCATCTATGTGTTAATAAATATAATAATACTATCTTTAAGTACATACATACATATGTAAGCAGGATTAGAATACTTAAATAGTTCAATAACAAAGAAGGTAATAGAATCATCATGCTGTGTCTGGTATAGATGGTATTTGCTTTTATTCATCATAAAGTTGTATGTTAACTGACATTATAAGTTGGTATGATAATACGTTTATGATCATGATTTTTTACACTCAATATATCAAATATTCAACAACCAAAATCACCTACTGCAGATACACACTAAGATGTTTAGTAATATTTTCATGCATGTAATTTAATATAGAAGAGCCACGTAGACCGACGCCAGCGCCGACCACGCCTCCACCGCCACCTCCCACAACTGCCGTACCTCCGACACCAGCCGCGACAACTCCAACACCGGCTACTGCTGCACCTGAACCAGGCTATGACGCTTTGCCGATTGGAGGTGAAGGTAATGCATCGCCTGGACCTCGCGGCGATTCAGGTTACCCTGGCGAACGGGGACGACCTGGTGATAACGGAGCGCCTGGCTCACCCGGAAGCCCCGGAATACCTGGAATGCCAGGACCTCCTGGACCTGCACCAGATGTTAGTTAAAATTAATCTGCTATGTTTAGTAAATTGATAAGTATCTTAACTGCAATTTTTGTGATAGGTTTCTTTATATTACCAACAACTAGCCATGTCACAAGCTGGAGCTGACAAAGGTCCTACAGGTTCGGCTTATGCACCAGATCAGTTTCAATATCTTCAGGCTCAAGTTGGACCAGTTGGTCCACGCGGTAGCCCCGGTGAGTATTATAAATGTATATGTTATATATGAATATTTTATTTTTATTGTAATGAAATATTTTTGTATATCAGGCCCGCCAGGTCCAGCCGGACCTCAAGGCTTCCAAGGTGCTCGAGGTGAGACAGGTGAACCAGGACCGCCGGGACCGCAAGGAACTGCTGGTCCAAGGGGCTTACCCGGTTTACCAGGAAAAGATGTTAGTATTTCTATTAGTAGTTAGTTACTTAAAATCAGTATTTATTAATGTACATTTATTATAGGGTGAAAGCGGTGAAGATGGTGAGGCTGGTCAACCCGGTGCTATTGGACCCGCAGGACCTCGTGGTTTACCAGGAATGCCGGGATTACCAGGAATGAAAGGACATCGCGGATTTCCAGGTTTAGACGGCAGTAAAGGCGAGCAAGGAAATTCTGGTGAAAAAGGATCTGCTGGCAGTCCGGGACCCATTGGTCCTGTCGGATCTGTGGTATGTCGATGTGTTACATTATTCACTACATAATAAAAATTGTTTGTAGCTCCATAATCTACTATAATATTATTAACTAGGGCCCTGCAGGCCCAAGGGGCGAACGAGGCAGAGAAGGTCCACCAGGGCCACCTGGACTTCGAGGAATAGATGGAACAGCTGGTGCACCGGGTCAACCAGTAAGTTCATATAAATTCGTAATGATCGAATTCAACTGAAATGAATAGAAAATAAATTAATTGTTGAAAAATACAGGGAAGTATTGGTAAACCAGGATCTCCAGGTTTTCCTGGCAGCCCCGGTCATAAAGGTGATCAAGGTAGTCAAGGACCTAAAGGTAGCCAAGGATTACAAGGACCAAGAGGTAATTATTAAATATATTTAGTATATTAGAAAAGTTATTTTTTAATAAAAGTAATATAAAATCATAGGAGAATCTGGTCGACCTGGACAGCCAGGCGAAGTTGGACCTCAAGGACCTCAGGGTAAGGATGGCACTCCAGGAGAAAAAGGAGGACCTGGCGCGCCTGGATTAAGTGGACCACCAGGATTTCCTGGAGCTAGAGGTCCACCTGGTGTATCTGGAAGTCCGGGTGAACCAGGAGCTAAAGGAATACCGGTAATTTATTATAGCTTATGCCTAATGATAGATTGAAATTATGCAATTAATAACATCTGCATTTCAACATTTTCACCTACAGGGTCTGGCAGGTGAGCGCGGCTTTAAAGGAGAAACTGGAAATAAGGGCGATGCAGGTGCACCAGGACCACGAGGTGTTCCAGGAGCACCAGGAGCTGAAGGAAAACGAGGCAAACGAGGTATGCGTGGACCAACAGGGCCTTCTGGACCTGCTGGAGAACGAGGACCTGCAGGAGGCAGAGGTTTACCCGGTCCTGACGGAGCACCAGGAGTTAAAGGTTTTTATACATACACACATACAAGCACATAAATATTATGCCTTCATATTCAATAGCATAATTACTAATCACAATATTTAACTTTGTGACGCAGGACAAACTGGAGATCGAGGACCAGTTGGACCTCAAGGAATTAAAGGTAGTACTGGTGATCCAGGAAGACCTGGAGGCCCAGGTTTACAGGGTTTACGCGGTCTTGTGGGTAGACCTGGCGCTACAGGCAAGCCTGGTAATCCTGGTGAACGTGGCATTCAAGGCGCAGATGGTAAACCGGGCGAGCAAGGTCCACAGGGTCTTCAAGGACTTCCTGGCCCGATGGGACAGCAAGGAGAAAAAGGATTTCCGGTATTTGATTAATTTATAATAATTCAAACGATATTATATATGTTTAAGTAACGTTGTTGCTGATATACTGATAATCTTAGGGAGAACCAGGAAAAGATGGTGATCCAGGACCACCTGGAAATGCTGGACCAAGAGGAGATGTTGGCAAAGACGGACCACAAGGACCACCTGGTCCTCCAGGACCTTCTGGCAGTGATGGCGAAAGAGGATTACCAGGTGCAGCAGGACCAAGAGGTTTCCAAGTGAGTTATAACCATATGGATATATTTGTATATACGCAAACTGTTGCGTATATAGAATATTTTTAATATACATATTTCGAATTTAAGTTACACTAATATTTATTATAGGGTCTACCGGGAGCAGCAGGAAATCCAGGAGTACCCGGTAAGGACGGTGAAGCCGGAGCGCATGGACCACCTGGACAGCCAGGTCCAGCAGGAAATCGCGGAGAAAGAGGATTCCCCGGTGAAAGAGGACCTATTGGTCAACCAGGTGCTACTGGTTCTCGTGGAGAACCAGGAGCTCAAGGAGGAGACGGTCCAGCGGTTTGTATTATAACATGTTTATGTTGTTGAAAATATATGTGTATAATTCTTATTAAACTTTATTAGGGAGCACCGGGAGCTAAAGGAGATAAAGGACATATGGGCCCTTCAGGTTTGGTTGGTCTTCCTGGCATGCGTGGTCAACCTGGACTTCCAGGAGAAAAGGGCGAGAGAGGTTCACTTGGAGCTACTGGTCCAGAAGGCCCAGCAGGTAATTTTTTTATCAAATATATATTAAATTTTTATACCTACTGTTATCTCACAAATAAATTTATACAGGTCGAGCCGGAGAACGAGGACCGCAAGGTCCAATAGGACCCGCAGGACCCCCTGGTGAACCAGCTGAACGCGGTGATCCTGGTCCACAAGGCCCACCTGGAGAAGCAGGAGCACCTGGCGGACCTGGTGAACGCGGTCCAGTTGGTGCGCAAGGTTTGCAAGGTTTCCCAGGACCACAAGGTTTATCAGGATTACCTGGTCAGAAAGGAGAACGTGGTTTATCTGGATTAAAGGGCGATCAAGGCAGTCCAGGATCACCAGGTAATGATGCAAAATAATATCAATAATTATAATATAAAAATATACGGAAACTTTTTAAAACTTTTTGATATTTTTGACAAAAGGATCTCCTGGAGAACAAGGACCTCAGGGATTGACAGGGTTAACAGGAGCTAAAGGTGCACGAGGAGAAACTGGAGCGAGAGGTGAACCGGGTCTAATGGGAGCACCAGGTCGACCTGGAGAACCTGGATTAGCTGTATGTAAATGATTTATTTTAATATATGTCATTATAATTCTAATATTTGATTTATGTTTAAGGGACAACCTGGAAGTGTTGGCCCTCCGGGCCCAGCTGGCATACATGGAATGAAGGGTGCTACTGGTGATACGGGTCGCCCTGGTAATCCAGGACATCAAGGTCCACCAGGTCCACCTGGACAAGAAGGATCCAAAGGAGATACAGGAAGTGAAGGTCAAACTGGTCCCATGGGACCAGCAGGGCCTCAAGGAGCACCTGGTGATAGAGGTCTTCCTGGACTACCGGGACCACAAGGACCAGCTGGTGCACGAGGAGTTAGAGGAGCATCGGTATGTTTGAATGGGAGTTATTTTTATAAAAGAAATATGTATTCTATTTGGATTGTAATAATTTTAGGGTGAAGTTGGACCAGCTGGTAAACCAGGAGGTGAAGGACCTCCTGGACCGGCTGGCGTTGCTGGACCACCTGGATCCCCAGGACCGATGGGAGAACAAGGACCCGAAGGACCTTCTGGCAAATCAGGACCACCTGGTATATCTGGCAGACCCGGAGACAAAGGTCCTGTAGGACCTTCAGGAAATCCTGGCAGCCCAGGAACTCCTGGATTACCGGTATAGTATTAATTTGTTAATATTCAATTATATGTAGATTATACAAATTCAATTATATTTTAGGGACCACCTGGACCCAGTGGACCTACTGGAGCACCTGGCGAGAGAGGTCAACGTGGTGAAGCTGGACCTCAAGGAGTAGAAGGACAGGCAGGTCCTAGAGGAAAAGTTGGACCGGCAGGCAGTGAAGGTGCTAAGGTAAAATTATAAGCAATTTACATTATGATTATAAAAATATATTTCTTATGATTTACTTTGATTATATATTTATTTTATAGGGTGAAAGGGGTGAAGCTGGTGCTCAAGGTGCTAAAGGACACAGAGGTCTTATTGGTTTACAAGGTTTACCAGGTCATGCTGGACCTCCGGGTGAAAAGGGTATACCTGGAGCGCCTGGCATTCCTGGAAAAGATGGTGAACCAGGAAGCAGAGGTAATAATTATATTTTTTATAACTTTGTGAAATATCGTATGAATTCCATGATATATATATATATATATATATATATATATATATATATATATATTGATTATTTAGGACCACCTGGACGAGATGGCAACATGGGAATACAAGGTTTGATGGGACCACCAGGTCCTAGAGGTCCTCCTGGAGAGGAAGGAAGGCACGGTTCATCTGGTCAACCTGGTCCTCCAGGACCACCTGGTCCACCAGGAGAACCATTGGGCTATGATGCGGCAGCTCTTGCAGCATTGCTTGGCCAAGGTTTATAGATAATATATTTGAATGTTAGTTATTTAAATATGTATTAACATTCAGAGTTGTTTAATAGGTCAATTCAACAATCAAAAGGGACCTGATCCGTTAGGTGATGAGCCTGCCAGACTATTCAGTAAGGACATTACTGAAGAAGAACGTAAAGCATTGGTTCTCAAGGCCTATGAACAATTGAAAGCTTCATTCGAGAAATTCCGTAAACCAAATGGAGAAAAAACATCACCAGGAAAAACTTGCCGAGATATTGCAGTCGCACATCCTGAACTACCAAGCGGTATGTGGTATTATCAATGGAAAAACTATTATGAATCAAATGTAACTATTTAATTATTCTTTTAGGTGAATATTGGATTGATCCTAATGAGGGCGATACAAGAGATGCTATATTAGTACATTGTGATATGCCTAATAGAGCTACTTGTCTACTACCGCGTCCAGAGAAATCTCCAGAAATCAATTATATTGGTGAAGAACAAGAAATCTGGCTGGGAGAAATACAAAACGGAATGAAAGTATGTCATTTTTACTTACAATATAAAAATATATAATATATACGAAGAGTTTTCATATTAACAAATTCACAATTGTGTTTGTAGCTAACATACAAAGCAGATAGCAATCAAATCGCATTCCTACAACTGCTCTCTGCAAAGGCATCGCAGACATTAACATACCATTGTAAAAATTCCATTGCTTATTATGATAATGAGAAGCACACGTACCGAAAGGGATTGAAGCTGCTCGCTTATAATGATGCCGAACTCACACCTCGTGGAAACCAACGCTTCCGATATGATGTTCTGGAAGATGAATGCAAGGTAATATATAACAGCAATTTTATAGAAAAAACTTTTATATATAAACAAACATTTTATATGAATATTTGAAAAACTTATAGTACAAGAAAAACACTTGGGCCAAGACTGTTCTCTCGTATACCACCGAAAAGGCAACGCGTTTGCCCATTCTTGATATCGCTGTTCGTGATACTGGTGCACCAGGACAAGTATTCTGGGTTGAAGTAGGTGCCGCCTGCTTCTCATAGATGCCAAAGTATTTGAGCCTTAATACAATTATCTGAATTAAAATAGAGCTACCAAAGAAAAGACATAATCTGAATTTTAGTTAATAGCATTTGAAATGTAACACGTTGCCAAAAGTAATATTTCCATGATATTTTTGTAGATATAGAAAAATTCTTAAATTAAGATTAATGTACTTACAATTATAGATATTCTTTAGCTTTCGTCATAAAGGAAATACTATAATTGACTCAGTGTTCAATTTTGTAAGTGCCTTAAATTGATTTGTATCCTTTTTTTTTAAAAAAAGCTGGTTGTAATATAGCATAACGTCACTGCCAATAAACAAAATCCTTTTGTGACGACTTAATTATATCTGAATGGATTTTGTCACTGCCAATTAGATTAAGATTATTTTGTAATACATTTATATAATATAAACTTGCAGTTTTATTTACGTTTAAAAATAAGACGAAATAGGTTATCTTTCATTGTTACGTCCGTTGCTCGTACATTTGTCATATCGGTTTTGATAAAACGTGTATAATTTATTTAGAAAATAAAAAGGAAAAAGACAAGATTTTTGTTTAGTATCATATACATACATATTGCAGCAAATCGCTTTACAGTGCAAATTACGAATTTGTTGTTTGAAAATGTATTATCAAAGTTATTAAACGAAAAGCGCATCTTAGTCACTTAATATGATAAAAAGTTAAGCAACAACTAGTGGGGCGCATGGCATCGTGCCTTAAGGCAAATTGCCGGAACTCCCCGTACCAAAAATTACTTTTTTAAAAAAAATTAACATTTTTTAAACAAAATTACTCTGAAAAAAATAGATTTTCGAGAAACTATAAATTTTTGCCAAAAATTTACTTTTTTTTTAAAAAAAAAGACTTTTTGAAGAAAAAATTATTTTGAAATATTCTGGAAATTTTGAACTTTTTCCAAAGCATCGCACTGCTTTAGCTACATCGAGACAAAATATCGAAGCGCGTAAGAGCCGCGTCGCTGTCTAACGGATGAACACTGATACGGAATTCATAGGAATGTAAACAAAATTTATACTTATTGTTAAAATCTCTATAAAATATCTGATAATTTGATGTGCATATGTCTAATGATCATTTTTGACCGCCAAATGGCATTTTTTTACTTTTTTTTTACTAGATCTCCGAAGCCGGTAGACAATTTGATCAGTTCTTCATCTTGTTAATACAAGTAAAATGTTTTTTGCATTATTCAAATCGGACGCTCCGTTCTCTTAAAAACTGAGTTACCGTTTTTGGCACTTTTTGCCTCATATCTTCGAAACGGCTAGACCTGTCTCTGCCAAAAACTAATCAGCACGTCTCCTTATCAATACGAATCGAATGTTTTTTGAATTATTCAAATCGCTTCATTCGTGTTCCCGAAATCGTCGACGAAAATTTGTATCCGAACACACACACATACACGCACACACACATACACACACATATACATACATTTTTTCTAAGGTATGCCAAAATGTTCAGAAGGTTTTGAAACGTAAAGATATATAAACATTTTCATTTTCGATTTTTTTGCGATTACTATAACTTGCCCTACGGGAAGTTAATAAAAATACGTTCGTACGATTTTTTTAGAATATTTTTTTTGAATTTTTCTTATGAAACTTTCTCATTATATCGCAACTGTGACAAAATCTATGTGAATTGTGTAATACCTATACAAGTAAATTACACGAGAGATCTAAAGGTAACATTGTTTATTAAGTTATACCCTCTGGAACAAGATAATGATGTTATTTCAGTTAAGCATACAAATAAAACAAAATCGTGAAACACTTTAATACCGCTATAAATTGGAGAAGTGAACTACACCTTAACTTCGAATCGTGATGGACACCTTGGCGCAGGCGCCACCTGAGGGCGGTAGGGGTGAAAACGAAGCGGGTGGTTTCGATTCCATAACGAGTCGTGCAGTCGAGACCGCCGATACGCGCCGTGAACATCATCAAACGACACCACCGCAACGCAATTACATCCGCACAACAATCGAAAGCCGCTGATATTATTACAAAAAGGCGGACGGTATATCGACGACAAACCCTCGAACACCAGTGCCGTTACAAGCCGCGTAGTATGACCCATTGCCGGCAATTCTGAATTCGATACACTGGAGCGTGCCGGAGTCGGTGGGACCCCCAGTGGGGCAAACATTTTCACCACGGCCTCAACGGGTTCACCACAGCGCGTAGTCAGCGAACTGCGCGACTACCTCCGCAGTCGGTTCGCCGGGACCTCGGTTGACCCAGGTGAGGATGATAAAAAATACTCTACATTTTGTTGATGACGAAACACAATGAACGTTACATAATCATTTCACTAGTAACACCTATTGGTATTGCCCATGTGTATTTTTAACACTCTTGAACAACTATAATTTTTTAATTTTTTATTCACATATATATTTATAACTGTCCAATAAAGGATATTTTGCAAATTTACTATTCTCAGACATTGTATAAAATAATGACATGTTGGAAAGAACAACTCAGTAGTTGACTTTTCATTTGCTATAAATAATATTAACAATACTTCAACTATAAAATACTGACTGACCGTGCATCGACATCTTATAAAACCATTTTATTCCTAATGGCATATGATCAAACTTTGAATTACATAATTTGATCGAACATAATTTATTTACATAATTCAATCTAATTATTATTTATAACTAAATTTGTGGACAATCCCGCGATTAAAAATATAACTCTGAAAATAATTTAAATTTAATTTAATATATTAAATAAATCACATTATATTTTTATTTTTAGCTTTATAATAATACCAGTCACGCAAATTTACATTATACATTTTACCTCATTATGTAAGATGCTTTTCGAAGTAATCAATATAATGTTTGATACCAGCCACATAAATTATTCATTAGGCGGGATCATTTGATCATTACAAATTATTAATTTATTTGAGAATATCATGTTACATATTTGCTTCATAAATTGATTGGTCAACGAAGTCTGTTCACATCCAAACTGTACTATTTCTATATACATAACAAATATACCAGCGTTTTTTTTATAAATATCCGTTACATTCATAAGCATTTTTTCTACTTTTTTATTTGGAAAATATTCGATTTTCACAAAATTCCACAATTTCTTGAAACTATATGTTTATTAATTGTGTGTGTATATTTATATATTAGCATTCTTAATATCAATTTATAAAAACACATTTTTTATTCACTATATAAATTACAAGCTTCTTTATAAGGACATTAAGTAATTGAGGTGATCAAGTACAATGTTTTTTTCATAAGGGTACTCAGTAGTAGGCCTTATACTAGTGAAATTATAATTTTTTTTGGGGCATATACGAACTAATTGACTGGTATATCATTTATTCTTGACATTTTTTTCATTTATCAAAGTTAAATGTTTCCAATGTGCTACAGTTTACGCAGGCGCTATTTTATATTTATATAACATTGGATTACGTGTTATATTTTATATGGATACTATTCTGGGATTATTTTTGAATCATAATTGTAAATGGTAAATTTAACTATAAAGTTTTTATAAAAATACATCAACAAGCCTTTATTAATAAAAATAACCATAATTGATAGTTTATTACAAACTGAGTTTTGTTTCATATGAAGCAAATAATTTATTAGACATTGGTTAAATGGAAAGTTGTTCCCAGTCAATGTTTTGTAATTTACAAAAAAGAACAGTTGCATGATAAAGTGCTATTTTTATTATTTATATAAATAAGAGATTCATTAAAAATATTGGAGATTATACAGAACTATGGTATCTACAATAAGAATATAAAATATGAACGTATTTGAAATTAACATGATCTCTCATACCAGACTCTTCCACCTGGCTGAGATATACAAAATATATATTATAATTGAAAATAAATAAATAAAAACAACAAAAACGATGACAAAACTGATTATGAACCATTTTCGAGAATTTGATTGATAACTATTTTATTACTTTTAATAATATATATATTGTACTGAAAAGTAGTGTATAAATTATCATATTGGCTTTTTTATTAATGGTGTTATGAGAAATATACTTTCTATTTTTAAATTTTATTGGCCTTCAGTTAATTACAGCAATTTACCCACATACATTTCATATTCTAAACAATTCTTATATACATATATCCTATACTATCTTTTAATCTTAATCTTTTAATCTTTAATCTCTTATAACATTCTATTTTTCCATTCAATTTTCTTTCAACTGATTAAGGAAGATACTTAAAATATGATGTTAATGTATATTTTTGGATAAAACTTAAATATATTTATTTTCCGACAACTTGGGAAAATAAATTAAGTTGATATCCTAGATGATAAAAAATATCGAATAAATTTATATATATATATATATATATATCCATAAACTATTAAACTGCGAAAATCTTGAAAGTACTATATATAGAACGTGCTGGAAATCCATACGATTGTTAGTCATGCGCGTGGTTCGCGCAGCCCGTCCTCGTCGAGTTTTCCACAAAATTTCCCTGCATTATCAGCAAACGAAAATCAACACAACGTTAAAATCTGATAAACACCAAACTAGCCACGGAACCGCATGTTTTGTATATCTGTATAGCTTCGCTTTTCTTCGAGAAAGCCGCGCACGCCGGGGTGCGTTGCCTTTAACTCCACGCGTTCAGGTGACATGTATTGATTTTCCTTTACGGCTCGGCCCGAGTTTACGTAACACGGTTGCGGTGTGCCCCAACGTGTTATGAATGGGACCCCCCAACGAGTTAGATTAACTTCAGTTGTACACGCGTAGTAGACAAGTTGCCGACGTCGGCTTTGATGTCTCTTGTGACTCTCATTGTTTGACAAAATATGTAAATAGTTTATTGTTGTTTTGTGAAATTTCATTGCTTGCATGCAAATTTATACACATTTATTGAATTTTCATCATTTTTTTAATTTTATATACATTATGTGAACATGAGATAATTATTGTGAGTGCGAACGTGTGTGGCAATTTGATTTGTTCAAATTATGATTGAAATGTCTGTACGCAATTAATTAAAACCAGTTTTTGATTATTTAAACGAGAACGGAATCGGGAGATGTGTAATTATTTATCACAGAAACAACATTTCAATCATGCCGTCTTTTTAATATTAATTATCCTATTGATAATCTTTATTAGTCAAAGTTAAATCGTGTGCAAAATGTAATGAAATTTTGTTTCTGTGTTGCTAGGTAGCCCGCGCTGAATCGTCACCGGGGATATCAGATCAAGAATGGGGAACGCATTTGTAAGAATACAGAGCGATTGAAGTGACTAGAATACTGAAGCAAGATTTAAAGTGTTAGAATAAAAATAGCAAAATGACGACGATACCAATAATTAATCTTGAGTTCAAGGAAGTTAAGGACGTAGTATGGGCGAAGCTTCAAGAACCGCAATCACAACGCAAGTTGATTCTTGTGATTGTGTCGATTGCTCTGTTGCTGGATAACATGTTATATATGGTAATTGTGCCCATTATTCCGGATTATCTACGGTATATTGGAGCATGGGGAGTAGAAGCTCAGACCAATGGCACTATCGCTCCGAATCCAAAAATTCCGCATTCTCATCATGGACAAGACTCCGCAACCGGAATCCTCTTTGCTTCAAAGGCTATCGTACAACTAATGGTGAATCCGTTTTCTGGCGCGCTGATCGATCGAATCGGTTATGATATGCCAATGATGATTGGCCTGACCATAATGTTTTTATCAACGGCTGTTTTTGCTTGCGGAAGGAGTTATGGTGTGTTGTTCTTTGCGCGTAGTTTGCAGGGTGTCGGCTCGGCCTTCGCTGATACATCGGGTTTGGCAATGATCGCTGATCGTTTTACAGAAGAATCTGAACGTTCTAAAGCGTTAGGAATAGCATTAGCTTTTATAAGTTTTGGATGTCTCGTTGCTCCTCCATTCGGAGGCGCATTATATCAGTTCGCCGGTAAAGAAGTACCATTTCTTATTCTTGCTTTTGTATCTCTCTTGGATGGTTTTATGTTATTATTGGTTATGAAGCCAATCAAAGAACAACTAAGAGAATCGCGTGTTGAAAAACCTCCTACAATACCGATTTGGCGACTCCTCATGGATCCTTACATTGCTGTATGTGCGGGTGCTCTAATGATGTCAAATGTTGCTTTAGCTTTCTTAGAACCTACTATATCGCTTTGGATGGAAGATAATTTGACAACTGATAACTGGAAGATTGGAATGGTTTGGTTACCAGCATTTTTCCCACATGTGTTTGGAGTTATAATTACAGTTAAAATGGCGAAAAAATATCCGCAACATCAATGGCTCATGGCCGCAGGAGGTTTAGCTCTAGAAGGTCTCTGCTGCTTTATAATTCCATTTTCAACTTCTTACAAGATGCTGATGATTCCAATATGTGGAATATGTTTCGGTATTGCATTGATTGATACAGCACTTTTGCCAACGCTAGGTTATTTAGTAGATGTACGCTATGTGTCTGTTTATGGCAGTATTTACGCTATAGCAGATATATCATATTCATTTGCATACGCCATCGGACCAATTATAGCAGGAGGTGTTGTAGAGGCAATTGGTTTCACAGCTCTAAACGTTGGAATAGCATTTTCAAATCTCCTATATGCTCCTGTTTTGATGTATCTTAGACATATCTATGATTTCAAGCCATTTGAGAACGAGGCAAACATTCTAATGAGTGACCCTCCGGACAAGGAGTATCAAACATATGCCTTGCAAGGTCAAGCGCAAAACAACGACTTGGACTACGGCAGATTCAACGAAGGCCGAGTACAGGAAACGAACATCGATCAAAATGGCTATGATCAATATCAATCGGAGCCACAACAATATCAGCCCGGATACAGCGATCAGGGAGGTGCCTATCAGCAGCAGCACGTGCCAGCAGCTGGACCAACGCAGCGCCATCTGCCTCAGCAACCAGTGGGAAATCCGTTCCGCGCTTCAGCGGAACTACCAGAAACTCCTAGGCCAGGGCACAACCCTTTTCGCCAAGGTTAAGCACTGTAATTACAAAATAGATATTGACACCTCCCACGTCCGATCTCGTTTGGCGAAAGCCCTATTAATTGTAGATATGTAAAAAGATGCATGGTTAAAATGTACACTTTAATAGAAGCTTTTATCGAATACGCTGGCAATAATGTATTTAAATTTCAAATATATTAGCTTGACCAGGCGTAGAGAAATATTAATATATACATATATTGTAGGTTTTTCATAGTTAATTATGATTTTAAAAATTATGTAACTAAGATACAACCAAGGTAACGATACATATCAGAGTCTCGTGCTCGCCTGAATACCAAAGTGATATTTGCCAAAAGTCGGTACTTATCTATTCGGCTTTTGGCCTTAGCTATAGAATATATTTAGTATAAGAACAGAGTTTTGTTAAATGCACAGAAATCTATGCCAATTTATTGCGGACCTATATTTTAAATTGGCATCATTTTTCTTTGTATTGACCAATAAAAATGTAAAAATAACTTGTGGGGTTTATCGCCCACATTTATTATATATATATATAAAAATTACTTTTGATGAATGTTTGTCAGTTGAATGTTGGACCGAGTTACTCCACTATATAAATTTCTGATTTATAAAATTTATTTCTGAAACTTTTAATTGAGAAATATGAGAAAAAAAATTATCAAGATTTGGAAAAATGCTAAATATTTATTATCTGTTATTGAGTGTATATAAAAATGTGAATGATTAATTTAAATGGACGCTCGGTTCAAAGCATTCATTATAGATTCCACGTTTCAATTAGAAGACTACCTGAAATATCAATACATATCAATTATATCCATTACATAAGTGATCACACATTTGTGGTTGTATTAATTAGCAATTAAAAATTCCATATATAAATATACAAATGTAAGATTAAATTAATTTATAGATTAAGAATTAATATATTGATGAAAAATTTTATTCTAGTCGTAATGAAATGATTAATTGAGGTTTGTTAGTGATTTTATGAACTCCACGATAATGCGATGGTGATTAGTATACATTTATTATGAATGCTAAAAAAATGTTAATGGTGTTTACATATAGTTCAATTATGATTAATGAAATCTGGAAAATTAGATTTGTTATATATAAAACAAGATAAAAGACATCGATTTGAATTAATTAATGAAAAAATCAACGTATATAAATGTATAATAATTACACGTATGTCCACGGATAACCTCAATGTTAATAAGATTATTTTGGAGTGAAATGGGGTTTCTGATGTGAAAAATAATATTAAATAAAATTAAATACAAGTTTTTATTACTGTAATAGAAGTTTAATTATTTTTTAAAATCAATTTGATGCAAATTTTCATTCTTTTAATTACTTTACTACGAATTCTAGATAATGCTAAAGTTTAAAAAAATATAAAATATTATTTAATTGAGGAGTTTCATATACTAGACAGTATTTGTTAAAAATGTTTTTTACTATTTGTTAATAAATATAAATATTGATTTGTGATTGATATCATATTCTCAATTCAATCAATTTCTATATTAATTAAAATAAAAAATGATCAGGAATTATAAGAATTAAATTATTTTGCATAGACTAAACTTTGGCTATCACCTGGACATAAAGCACAGCAAAAATAGTTTTTTTTATCAGAAACCAAATTTCACAGAAATGTATTATTAAAAATGGAAATTTTAGTATCCCTGTGCATTAAATTAAAAAAACTTATGGGCTATGATGCTTTGGAAATGTGTGTGTTAATTAGTTACGCTGAACTTAGACTAATTGTGATATATAATTATTATAAAATGTGTGTATGTTGCATATTCAGAAAAACGTTGAAAAAATTTATTGCACAGTGATATTAAAATTTTCCTTACAAATGTGAATTATTTCATGAAATTAAATATATGTGCAATTATCTATATAAAAATTACTTAATTACTTTATATTTCGTTCTTGGTTTTAAAGACTTCAAATGTTAAATACGACCAAAAGATATTTAAACATCACTATATGTATTATATGGAACGAAATTTAAAATGATTTACTAATGCTTATGATTTAAGTTAATTAATTATCATATGCATATCAATATTAACGTATAAGCAATAAGTGAATCAATTAATTATATATCAAATTATTAATATTTATCCATATATATAAATCTTTATAAGCCTTCTTGATGAAACGGTGTTCCGTGTAAAGTATTTATATTATCGTTGTTTTAAAGTTCAATTATGAAAACCTGAAGTCAATATTAATAGAAACAACGATTATATGACTACAAAATTCTTTATAAAATGTGAATATGTGACTACAAATTTTTGTCATAGCTGGCTGACATATTTTTATGTAAAATTCAAGCTAAAAATCAAAATATGCTTAAAATATGTTTCAGAACTATGAACAGTCTTTAGTGTTACAGCTGTGAAATTTAAAAATTTGTTGTCAAATGTGATTTTTTCTGATTTTTTATTATAAATATTAAGTATGAGAATTTAAGGGTTTTTGCACAATACTTAATTAGGCTGAATGACTGGAAAAAGCATAAGTTAGAACCTGGAGATGAAAAATTAACAATTTTTGGACTTAATTTTTATAAAACAATTTGAATATTAAGGATTTTATATACAAATTTATTTAACAAACTAAAATAACAATGAAACTTTCGATTTAATAGCATTAATCCAGATGCGTCCATTTTTGGTAATATGTAGATATTAATTATATACATTTTGAATTACCTAAAATGCTATTTTGTAAAGCAAAAATCAACAATATTAATTTTTCAAGATATGGAAAATTTAGTCACCAAAAATACATAAAATGTCGTGCTCAAAACTTTTTTCAAATAATTTACTTCCCTTGGCAAATGAAATGAATTTTTTACTAAAAGCCACATAGGCCTATTTTTTATGATTCGTATAAAAAATCGGTTTTTAATTTTGTATATATTCAAACTTGAAAGTAGGAGTTTAGGACTGATAAATATTTTTTTGGATATAAAAGATTTTTTTTTTACTATTTTGCATAATTTTTTACCAGTGCTTTACCAGTCAGTCAGTCTAAAAAAGTATTCCTTACTGTGTCTTAAACAAAGACTCTATAAAAATATACTTACATATCAAATACCATATAAATATATATGAACTGAATTAGATAAATATTACCCCATTTATACAAAAATTTGCGAAATTATTAAAGTCATATATCCGCCCTTTTATATCGAATCACGGGAATTTCAAATTTGCTTAAATTTTAAGAAAATATACCTACAGAATTATTTATTGTACATGTACATATAAACCCAAATTGTTGATAGTAATGCACATATAATAGTTCTTTAAATGTGTATAATATTTGTACATCGAAAATATATGAAAAATATAAATCTACCTGTGAAAATGCACATGAAACTCCACTGAAACGGACTGTGAAACGGTATTTTAAATCGTATCATTTGAATAATGCTGAAAAATTGGCAGAATTATTCGATTGATTTTTATTTTAACCATTTTTATTTGTGGTTTCAAAGACGTGATGTTAGGATTTGTTTTTTGGAAATTTAGAGGTTGTGATATGAGTGCATATTTAATGTCAATTGAAACTGTTTTGAGTTTTAAAATGTTGATTTTTACAAAAAAAGGACAAAGTCAATTTAACTTATATCTGATTTCTCTTCTATTGACTTCGGAAGTTCAGTTACCGTTTACAAAAAGAATATTGGCGGCAAATTTCTGAAGTGGCGGTACGTGGACTTTTAGTTTCGATACACTGAACTTTTTTGGGAAAATAAAAAAATCTGATAGTCTTGGCGGACAGAATATTGCAAAATTCCTGGATATACACACTAATGAGAAATTCGAAAATTTGTCAAAATTATTGAGTCTTCAATTATCCAGTTGAACAAGATTTATATATAAATCAAAAACAATTTATTAAAAAAATAAAATAAATGGGATATACACAATCCAAGGATATGTATATTCTTTGCTATTATTTCACACGTTTCGACATAAAATTCTATGCTACCATTAGTGGATATGAAAAATTTTGATAATAAATATATTGTATAATAATAGTACAAAAATGTAAAAAATATAATTTGCAAGTAATACTACAACATTGTAAACACTTTCCGAATTTGCTTTGAATGCATCTGTTACACTGTGTTCTTGGAGAAAAAATATTTTAGAAGTTATAAATCCATTTTTTATATTTTTGTACTATTACTGTACGGTATATCTTTTTTTCACTGATGAAGACCCAAAATTTTTCTCTCTGGAATAACAAATATTCTTTGAAATCTTTGCCTTTTTTCCTCTCTTTTTTCTTGATTACTTGAAAAGGCATAACTTTTTAGATTTTTTTCATATATTTTATTATCAAAATTAACTATATATATATATATATATATATTTATATATATATATATAAATATATATTGAATGGAATATATATATACATATTACGGATAACATATGATAAAAAATATTAAAATAATTTTGAATTTCATTTACCAACAATTTTTTTCTCTTTGATAATTTTAATGGTGTATAATTGAATTTCAATTATTTCTTTTATAATCATGATTTTATTTATTCATTTTATTTATTTGTATGAAAATTGCTATACTACGGTGTGTTTTGATCTGCTTTTGATCTATCACATTTTTTTAAATTCCTCTAAAAGTTCAGAGCAACGTGACTATTACTGAAGCTTTTCTATCTTGAAAAAATCTTAAAAAGAAAAATTTCCAACAATGAGCGGTCCATTGTTAAAAAATGTTACTCTATAACTCCTTCATTAAATCCATTATTGTTGATCATGTCAATTGTAAAGACTCAAATCATCAGAAGACTAGTTGAAATGTTTAAAATTGTTGAAACTAATAAGAAGATTTTTGCAATTAATTTACATATTTTTTATTTGCAATATTTACAGCAAAGTTTAGATTACTTTTAATTATTCTATTTTTTATGTTATGTGAAATAGATTTGCATGTGTTGCTG